AGTGGGCCAGGAGACCGGTGAAGGCGTTTGGGGCTCCAGAGTCGCTAAATGGGACAAGGATCGAACGTGTGACCCCACCAATGGATTGCTCTCCGAACGAGGAATCCATTGGTGGGGTCACACGTTGGGTTCGAGGCCTGCTTAGCTACTCTGAAGTTCAAAACGCGTCCAGAGTTTTCGCCGCCTATCGGTCTTCTGGCCCACTGTGCGGGAAATGGCACTCCGTGACAAAGGCATGCGAAAGGAAGCGGACGGACGCCGATGCGGTGCCAATGCAGGCTGGGCAGTGGGTCTCGGTGCGTCCCGACTCCTTTTGGCCGCCTCCCAGCGGTGCAAGCGCGGCAGCGCGGCCCAGCCGGCGAGACGGACGGACTTCCCTGCGCGGGCCGAAACACAGTGGGCCAGAGGCCCGGTGCAGGCGGCCGAAACTCTAGACGCGTTTTGAGCTCCAGAGTCGCTAAATGGGACTCGAACCGAACGTGTGACCCCACCAATGGATTCCTCGTTCGGAGAGCAATCCATTGGTGGGGTCACACGTTCGGTTCGAGTCCCATTCAGCGACTCTGGAGCTCTGAACGCGTCTGGAGTTCTGGCCGCCTCCGCCGGCCTCCTGGCCCACTGTGCGAATGGGCCGAATGGCATTGAACGCAGTGCGACGCAGTGCAGGTGGAACTGGCGGAAGACGCGCAGCACTCGCCAAATGGCCGCCCCTTGCCAGCCGCGCTACCGAGCCGCGCCACCAAGCCGTGGCAAACAGGACGACCCATTGACGGCCAGGGGGCGGCCGACGGCGTCGTCTCTAGATTCGCCCCGACGCACTTCGACGCCTCCGCAGCTCGTCAGAGAGAGCGTACCGCTTAGCGCGCACCCCTTGGGGCGTACCCCTGGAGGTGACGGCTTCACGGAGGACCAGAAGACCGGTGGAGGCGGTCAAAATCCCGGACGCGTTTTGACCTCCAGAGTCGCTAAATGGGACTCGAACCGAACATGTGACCCCATCAATGGATTGCTCTCCGAAAGAGGAATCCATGGGTGGGGTCACACGTTCGGTTCGAGCCCTGTTCAGCGACTCTGGAGCTCAAAACGCGTCTAGAGTTTTGGCCGCCTCCACCGGTCTTCTGGCCGGCCCACTGTGCACCTGGGGCGTGCCGCGGGGGGCGTGCCGTGGGGGGCGTACCGCGGGGGGCGTACCGCATGGGATAGCGGGCGTACGGCGTACAGGGATCGACAAGTCACTTGAAGAGGCGCGGTGGCTGCAGCGGTAGCAGCTATACATAGGTTGGCAGCGACTCAAGGTGCGGCGCGGTGCGGCACGCGTCGGGGCGGGGCGGGGCGGCGGGCGGCGGGTGGGGCGGGGTGGGGCGGGGCGTGGTGCAGCGGTGACATAACGCCAGGTAAGGGATAGAGAAACGCTGTCCACAAAACACAAGAAGAGGGTGGTGGCTTGCCGCAGCCCTGCCTTCACTGCTTTCAAGAGATCGGGTTCGATTGAATTTTTCCGTTACCCGCGCGGGCAGTGGAGCAAATTCTAGCATTCCCGAGTCCGCAGGATGAAACCAGAGGACTTGAATTCTTCCGCCCGCGTCGGTTTCGCGGGGATAGGCAACTCTAGCGGCCCTGAGCGCCCCGCAGACTGATTCCGAGGGTCGTTCTCGTCGCCCTGTCTCTCTCGCACCCATAGGGGACGCTCCATGAGTGCGAGAGAGACAGAAGACGACTCTCGGAATCGGCCTGCTGTCTGAACGCCTGAACGTCTGAATGGCCCCTTGTGGGTCGCGGAGTCCGACCCGAGCAGCGCAGCCCAAGCCGCGCCCTGACGAGCCGCCCTCAAAAGCGGCGCTATTTATACGTTTGCTCTTGAAAACATGTTCCATTTCATACGGCCGAATGTCGCGCGGTTAATTCAGACGCAACGTAGAGCATGCCGCACGTGTGTGTGTGTGTGTGTGTGTGAGAGTGTGTCTGTGTGTGTGTCTGTGAGTGAGTGTGTGCGCGCGCGTGTGTGTGCAGGTGTTTGTGTAGGCGGGTGTGAGAGTGCGTGTGGATGGATGGTTGAGCACGTGTGTGTAGGTGCGAGTTGCCTGTTTACGTGTATGAGTGTGCGTGCGTGTGTGTGTGTGTGCGTGCGGCGCGCGCGTGTGTGTGTGTGAGTTGGCGGAGGGGTCTGTAAAACCCAGCAACTGACGAATGCATTGTAGGACGTAAATAGCATCGTACCATACCAAACGCGTGCTACATTGTCAAACTGCAACCACACGGCCACATAAACAAGTAGCACGGCATGAAGGTAGCATACCAAGATTTCATTTGTTTGTTTTTTTTTTCACCCAGCTAATTACAGAATTGAATTGACGAACACGTCATAGAATTCTTCATAGAACAGGCGAGTATACGTGTGTGTATGTGTGTGTGAGAGAGAGAGGAGAGAGAGGAGAGAGAGAGAGAGAGAGAGAGAGAGAGAGAGAGAGAGAGTTTTCTAGTTTGTTTTGGGGGGTTTTATTTGAGGAGGGGGGAGAGTGAGGGGTGGCTGGCTGTCGCAGGGAAATACCGCATCTCGCCTCCAATTTTTCTTGAAGCAATTTAGCATCTGACAATACCCCAGAGAGACGGGGAAGGGGGCGCGGCGGAAAGCAGCAAGGCACGCGCAAATATAGCGGAGGGGAAATAAGAGGAAGGTTGACGGAGGGACAATCGGCTGGTCGCCACGCCACGCCATGCCGCGCCACGCGCCACGTTCTAACTGAAAATGCCTTGGCAGATAATTAGGCTGACAAGCGCCACGGAGAGTTCACAGTGGGCCAGGAGACCGGTGGAGGCGGTCAAAATCCCGGACGCGTTTTGAGCTCCAGAGTCGCTAAATGAGACTCGAACCGAACGTGTGACCCCACCAATGGATTGCTCTCCGAACGAGGAGTCCATTGGTGGGGGTCACACGTTCGGTTCGAGTCCTGTTTAGCGACGCTGGAGCTCAAAAACGCTTCAGCCGCCTCCGGCGCGGTCTTCTAGCCCACTGTGAGATGTAAACAAAAGACCATCAGATCATCAGTACCGGATTTTCAACATGCAGCTACGAAACTGATCCATGGCCACAGTTCCCTGCAGGATGCAATGAGTGCAATAGGCATTGTGCTCACCACATAACTTTATTGTGACACGGCTTCGGAACGGGCATCTATAAATTGAAAATGGGTGCTGGTTACGGACAGAGTGGCCGGGCGTACCCACCACCCCGAGCCGCGCCGCGGGGTGGAGGGGGGTGGAGGGGGGCGGCAAGTCAAACCCCGTCCGCCGACTAAATGTCAGCAGTCAGTCGCCGAGTCGCCGGCCTGGCAAAACACCGGGGCGCCCGTATTCGAACCCGGGCGGGACCGGCTAATCGCTCCACAGTGGGCCAGAAGACCGGTGGAGGCGGCCAAAACTCGGACGCGTTTTGAGCTCCAGAGTCGCTAAGTTGGACTCGAACCGGACGTGTAACCCCACCAATGGATTCCTCGTTCGGAGAGCAATCCATTGGTGGGGTCACACGCTCGGTTCGAGTCCCATTTAGCGACTCTGGAGCTCAAAACGCGTCTTGAATTTAGGCCGCCTCCACCGTTCTTCTGGCAAATCCACTGTGCGACGCCGCCGCCTCTTTGTGACTGCATCTCTGGCCAGTCCGCCGAGCCGGCCGGCCCCGCGGTGCTTTGCGTTTAAAAATGGGCGGCTGCATGCGGCCGCTGCCCCGCACCGCTGCAGGCCATGGGCCCACAGTGGGCCAGAAGACCGGTGGAGGCGGTCAAAACTCTGGACGCGTTTTGAGCTCCAGAGTCGCTAAATTGGACTCGAGCCGAACGTGTGACCCCACCAATGGATTGCTCTCCGAACGAGGAATCCATTGGTGGGGTCACACGTTCGGTTGGAGGCCTGTTCAGTGACTCTGCAGCTCAAAACGCGTCTAGAGTTTTGTCCGCCTCCACCGGTCTTCTGGCCCACTGTGGGGCCTTGCCATGGCACTAGGCGCACTGCACGCCCAAAAACAAGGCGCGTTTGGGTGACCCACATTCTTGCGGCCCATCCGGCCATCCCGCCGCGGCGGCGCGCTGCCTCGTGGCCGAGGGGTTAGCGGCACCGCTGAGAGAGCGGCGGGACGCCGGTTCGACTCCCGGTAGCCGACGCTGGATTTTAGATGCCGATTGGTTCAACAGCCTGTTGCCGACGGGACTGTGCGAGCGTCGCCAGTCGTCTTGAAAGTTCCCCAGCTGTGTTGATACTTATCACCATTCTCAAGTACCATTCGTGGCTCTGTCTCTCTCGCACCACTCGGAATGGGGAGGCTGGCGCCAAGGCTGGCGCCGTTCCTGGGAATCGGTCGGCGTCGGCAAGACACCGCAAGACACGCGGACCGGCGCCGCACACCCGCCCGGCGGCAACCCGTCCTCACTTTGTTTCTCGCAAACTGCCCTGACGCTGCGCCGCGAGGTCAACATCCTCCCCGTGGCAGGGCCCACAGCGGGCCAGAAGACCGGTGGAGGCGGTCAAAACCCCGGACGCGTTTTGAGCTCCAGAGTCGCTAAATGGGACTCGAACCGAACGTGTGACCCCACCAATGGATTGCTCTCCGAACGAGGAATCCATTGGTGGGGTCACACGCTCAGTTCGAGTCCTGTTCAGCGACTCTGGAGCTCAAAACGCGTCGAGTGTTAAGGCCGCCGGTCTTCTGGCCCACTGTGCAGCGCAGCGCCCAGGATGTGTGCGGCGGCGACGCACCCGCCAGTTCCGGCGCCGCCTTTGAGGTTAGGTTGCCGCTGGTTGACACTCTGCGGCCGCCCGTCTTCCTCTGTTCGTTCGCTTTGCTCGGCTCGACTCGTGGACTCGGCTCTCATTTCTTCACAGTGGCGTTCCCGCGCGACAAGGCGCGAGTGTGTTAACAGTTCAAATCGGCTGATCGTTGGCCCCAATCCTCCCTCCCTGCTTCCAGCTTGCTTCCACATCTTCGAACGACGTCGCCGCCACGCACGTACCTTAACACACGTCCGTAGCACGCTCGCGGCACTCGTGACACTTGGTGACACTCGCGACACTGCGTGACACACTGTGTGACACACGGAGTGACACACCGAGTGACGCGGAGAGCACTCCCCGCGATGCGCGGTGCGCGATTTGGTGGAGGGAGCGAGTTGGGACGCCCCGCGGAACGTGGCGTGCGCGCCGGTCGCTGCCAGGGCGTATACTGAGCGCCGCCGCCCCGCGCCGCCTCGCCGGCCGGGCGGGGGGGGGGGGGGAGGACTCGCACTACTACCCTGCCTGCCTGCCTGCGCCCCGCCGCGCCGCCTCTGTCTCTGTTCCGCCGGTGCAACTTTCTGGCTCGCTTGGGTCATTTTGCGCATCGCTTTCAAGGCCGCTCGGCCCTTTGTGAGTCGACAGGGAGCGACGGGGTGCTCGCGTCTAGAGGCCACCGGCCGGGGGGAGGAGCGGGGACATCGCAAGGTGGAGGCGGCCAAAAATCTAGACGCGTTTTGAGCTCCATAGTCGCTAAACAGGGCTCCAACCGAACGTGTGACCCCACCAATGGATTGCTCTCCGAACGAGGAATCCATTGGTGGGGTCACACGTTCGGTTCGAGTGCCATTTAGCTCAAAACGCGTCTTGACTTTTCGCCGCCTGCGCCGGTCTTCCGGCCCACTGTTAAAGCGGATTTCGGGGCGTTTTGTCGATTGTGCTCCGCCGCAACCCCGAAGAAATGATCTTAGAACCTGCAAATGTGTGGCAAACCCTCCATCGCAGGCACGGGCATGAAGGTGACGGGTGGATCTCTAGGCACTTGCTATACCGATTGCTCTTTATTATCAGTTTATTCACGTATGTACAGTTTTATTATAAAAGTAATAAATTATTATAAAATGTGGTTATGTACAATGGCTTCAAATGGCACCAATGAATTTCTTAGGATGACTACGTGCGGGATGGTCAAACACTTCTGTGATCTTTCTCTCTCTCTTTTTTTGTACACTGAGCGGGATAACTTGATTACTGGCACAAAGCCGAAAATTGGGCGACAATGCTGATGCAATTGCGCTACATTTTAAAAACAGCTCAGCTGAAATAAATTCGTGAGGTTCGAAACGTTATCACCGAAGTCATTTCCTTCCTCATTAGCGAAACCCGTGTGGGAACTAAAAGGCCTGATCGACTCAAACCCTCTGGGGCATTCTACCGCAGTTCTGCTGCCACTGGTTGAGGCGGACGCTTTGTCGGCAGGCGGGTTAGACCTTTCCAGGATAAGCTCTTAAGGCAACAACCTGCAATCTTTGCGCCGCCACACTTTACGATCCAGCTTATTTGCGGCGAAACGGAGTTGAACTCGGCGTTAACTGGAGTATCAATAACAATGAGTTCAGTCCCATTTTGCTGCATATAAGTTGCTTCTTGAATTGTGGCGGCGCAAAGTTTAGGTTATCGCACGAGAAGCTTAGTCTGGCAAAGTCTTTTCTAGTGAGACTGGGTCTCTCTGGAGAGTTTCTAGAGAGACAGAGTATCTGTAGAGAGACACGGTGTCTCTAGAGAGATAGTGTGTCTCTAGAGAGGTAGTGTGTCTCTAGAGAGGTAGTGTGTCTCTAGAGAGGTAGTGTGTCTCTAGAGAGACAGGATCTCCAGCACCATCTGGCCTGGTCCTAGTCCGTCCTGTAGAAGTCTGAGCCGGGGCGGATGGATCCCAGGCGGTTGGCGTTGAGGCCGTTGTCCAGCCGCTTCTGCTGGTTCTGCAGCACGAGCCTGGTGTGCGGGAAGGCGGGGAAGTAGTGCGGTTCGTTGTCGGACAGCACGCGGACGAAGTGCGCGGCGGCGGGGCCCGTCACCAGCAGCGGGTCGTACGGCGCCGGCTCGGGCATTGTCACTGTGGGACACGGTGGGAAGGAAGGTTGGGTCAGACGCCGCCGTGGCGACGCGTCGCACAGTGGGCCAGAAGACCGGTGGAGGCGGCCAAAACTCCAGACGCGTTTTGAGCTCCAGAGTCGCTAAACAGGACTCGAACCGAACGTGTGACCCCACCAATGGATTCCTCGTTCGGAGACCAATCCATTGGTGGGGTCACACGTTCGGTTCGAGTCCCATTTAGCGACTCTGGAGCTCAAAACGCGTCCGGGACTTTGACCGCCTCCACCGGCCTTCTGGCCCACTGTGCGTCACCACGTCGCTCTGGATCTCTCAGTGCGAGAGAGACGACGACGCAGAGCGCCGCGTGAGAGCTCGCGTGCGAAAGACAGAGACAGACAAAGCCAAATTACAAACCCGAGTCGGTGGCGCCGAGTCCCTGGTGCGGCGCCTGGTCCTCGCGGATGGGCGCGGCGCGGGCGGGCGCAGTGTACCGCCACACTCCTGCAAGAGAGAGAGAGAGACAGCGTCAAGACGGACATCTCGCTTGCGTCGCTTGCCGTTTACCCGCCCCTTCGACGTGTTCTCCTCGGATCTCCCATGCCATTGTCACTTGCTCCACTCTGACGCCTCCGGCGCCTGTCCCACACAGTGGAGGCGGCCGAAACTCTAGACGCGTTTTGAGCTCCAGAGTCGCTAAATGGGACTCGAACCGAACGTGTGACCCCACCAATGGATTCCTCGTTCGAAGAGCAATCCATTGGTGGAGTCGCATGTTCGGTTCGAGTCCCATTTAGCGACTCTGGAGCTCAACACGCGTCCAGAGTTTCAGCCGGCCGCCCCCACATCTGCCACACTGTGCAGCGTGCCCCTCACTGCACTACTTCCAGAGCAACCACAAGACAGCCATGGTGATAGCCAACGGGGCGCCCACGTGACCTTGAGGCGACCTTGGCCTGTCCAAGCGGGCCACCGCGGTACAGCCAGGGCACGCCCGCTAGTACTCAGTGTTGTCAAACCGGATAAGATAGCGGACGGCCCGGATGCTGCTGCACCAAGAGTATCGGTGCAGTGGCCGTCGTGCCTCTCTCACTCGCACTCATGGGGCGTCCCGTGGGGGTGCGAGAAGACAGAGCGACGAAACGACTCTCCGCTCCGGATAGGGGCGGCGCAGGGAAAAGCCCCGTGCTGTGGTGCTAAAAGCGAAAGGGGTTGACGCACAGTGGGCCAGAGAACCGGTGGAGGCGGCCGAAACTCTAGACGCGTTTTGAGCTCCAGCGTCGCTAAATGGGACTCGAACCGAACGTGTGACCCCACCAATGGATTGCTCTCCGAACGAGGAATCCATTGGTGGGGTCACACGCTCGGTTCGAGTCCCATTCAGCGACTCTGGAGCTCAAAACGCGTCTAGAATTTTCGCCGCCTCCACCGGTGTTCTGACCCACTGTGCGGTGGTCACCCTCTCACCTTGCTGCTCCGTCCTGAACTGCTGCGGCTCCGTCCTGAACTGCTCCGTCCTGAACCGCTGCTGCTCGTCGTTCTGTGCCTGCCGCAGGGGCTGCTGGCGGTAGAACTGCGGCGCGGGGGCGGGCTGGTAGAACTGCCCTTGCCTCATGACCCAGGCGGGGGCGGGCGCTGCCGGGGGCGGCGGCGGCGACAGCACGGTGTGGTAGTCGGCGGAGTGGAAGGCGGCGGGGGCGGCGGACATGGCGCGTGCGAGCTGGAAGCGCTGGAATGCGCCTGGAACAAGTGCGTGAAGCGTGAAGCAGATGACAGAACCAGTGCCGGACAAGGCGGTAAACAGGCCCGGGGCAAGGCCCAGGGCAACGCCCAGGGCACTGGCCGACCATCTCCGGAATGGTGATGGCTGAAACCGTCAAGCGTACTGGAAACAAGTTTCACAGATCGGTTGTCGGTTTAGCGTAACATTTCAATCAGGATCAGCGCCGCAGAGCTCTAGACAGGACTCCGAAACGAACGTGTGACCCCACCAATGGATTGCTCTCCGAACGAGGAATCCATTGGTGGGGTCACACGCTCGGTTCGAATCCCATTTAGCGACTCCGGAGCTCAAAACGCGTCCGGTATTTCACCCGCCTCCACCGGTCTTCTGGACCTCTGTGCAGCGCACGAGTATTTAGTCTCCGCACGTGAAAAGAAATATTCAGCCTTTCTCTATGGTTTCAACTGGTGATGGCTAAGAAAAACAGCCAATTTAGTTCCTTTTTTTACGTGCGTTACCTGGGGCAGTCAGTCAGTGGAAGTACAGGCAAAGCTTCCAAGTATCCCGAGGCGGCTGCAAGTTCCCACCACTCACAGCACTACCTGCAAGTCCCACTGCTTTTTTGTAGTTTCTTCATTCAACCGAGCGTCAAATGATTGTTTATTTATTTACTTTGAGAGTGTTTACCTGGAGGTCCATATACTGGCGCCGGCTGGACAATGGGCGAGGCGCAGCAGACGGCCGCAGTGGCGACGACCAGGACCGCGACGGAGTACACCTGCAACGAGTGAGCGGGTATGAGTCAAAGGCCCAGGGTATGAGGGAGGAGAGGAGGAGAGGAGGGTCGCGGGAGTCAGCGAAACCCTAACTGTCGCGCTGAGGGACACGCGAGGGAGCTGCTTGCCATGGGTCGGAGGAAGCTAAGGGTCGGAGGAAGCTAAGGGTCGGAGGAAGCTAAGGGTCGGAGGAAGCTAAGGGTCGGAGGAAGCTAAGGGTCGGAGGAAGCTAAGGGTCGGAGGAAACTAAGGGTTGGAGAAAGCTAAGGGTCGGAGGAAGTTAAGGGTCGGAGGAAGCTAAGGGTCGGAGAAAGCTAAGGGTCGGAGGAAGTTAAGGGTCGGAGGAAGCTAAGGGTCGGAGAAAGCTAAGGGTCGGAGGAAGTTAAGGGTCGGAGGAAGCTAAGGGCCGGACGAAACTAAGGGTCGGAAGAAGCAGCTAAGGTTCGGGGTTGGAGCTGCCCACGCCACGCGCACGTGGGCAGAGCCGTTACGTAAGCTTGCATCACAGACCGTCTTATGGTGGCCCAGCGACCAAGGGCACCGAGGCCCTTAGCGGGGCTCTTGGCAGGCCCTTCGTAAGCCCTGGACAGCGCATCTTGTGGAGCCCCCCGCCCGCGGACGAGGCGTTGGCAAGAAGAGCCTCATCCAGATTCAAACTACAAATGAGAAATGAGTCTGCACCGTTAAAAATTGAACGAAAGAAAGAACTCTGCAACTTGTACTGTCTGGGGAGGTGCTCCTCTAGACGCAGTGTAAGCATGCGTCGTTAAGGTGCAGGCGTTTGCAGGTGTGGAAGGGAGCAATCTGATTGCTCCATCTGCCGATGTGACGCGGTCGGGTCGACAAGTCTCAGTCCGGGGGATTGCCCCACCCTATTTCTGTGACCGAGAGATTTGGCCCGAGATAGCCGGTAAAACGGGGAGACAATAAAACGGTAATCGATCTTAAACAGCGACAGTGGCTCCCAGACCAACTGTCCGCCGCACAGTGGGCCAGAAGAGCGGTGCGCGTCCACAACTCGAGACGCGTTTTGAACTCCAGAGTCGCTAAATGGGACTCGAACCGAACGTGTGACCCCACCAATGGATTGCTTTCGGAACGAGGAATCCATTGGTGGGGTCACACGTTCGGTTCGAGTCCTATTTAGCGACTCTAGAGCTCAATGCGCGGGTAGGGTTTTGCGTGCTCCTGCGCCTCAGGAGCTCCGAAAACAATATCTGGATCCGCCCCTGGCACCGGAAGTGGCGGTCCGGGTCAAGACGGCCAAGACCGTGGCCGTGGCTCCCCCTTTCTTCGGAGCTCGTCGTGCCTGTCAGCACGGCAGTGCACTGGCGCGGCCCGGGCCAGCCCGAAGCGGCCCGAAGCGTCCGAAGGCGCCCGGAGGTCCCCGAAGGTCGATCGCCCCTTTGAGCGCCTCGCGGACGCCGGGACGACGGCCGTAGGACAATTGGATCATCGACGAACGCGGCGTGGCGGCGCGGCGGCGGACCGGCCACCTCCTCAAGTCAATCACGGGGATATTAACCTTGCCCAGAGCGCGGCGCCGCATTCAGAGGTCCCGGACACGCGGCCAGCACGGCAAGGCCCCCGACGACGGGCCCTAAACGCATCCCCCCCCCCTCGCTTTTTCTCGGTCCTCCGCGGCGCCTCGGCACTGTAAAGTGTAGCACCAGTCTGTGTCCAGAAAACGGGGAGGGGATAGGCAACCCGCAGGCAAGCCCTCGTTCGCTCTCATATCGACCTCAAACACTTTCCTTCTCACAGTGGGCCAGAAGGAGGCGGCCTAAACTCGAGACGCGTTTTGAGCCGCAGAATCGCTAAGCAGGACTCGAACCGAACGTGTGACCCCACCATTGGATTCCTCGTTCGGAGAGCAATCCATTGGTGGGGTCACACGTTCGATTCGGGTCCCATTTAGCAACTCTGGAGCTCAAAACAGGGATTTTGACCGCCTCCGACGGTCTTCTGGCCAATCCACTGTGAGCTGTCGGCTCGAAATGACGCGATTGTTCTGTAACGCCCCGTGCGTCCGTTTCCGAGAGCACCTGCCGGGTGACTCCGAAGTGTCGCTCTGTCCCTCTCGCGCCCCTCCGGCCCGCGGGACGGCCCCGTGAGTGAGACAGAGACAGCGACAGCGCGGCACACTGCGGAACCAGACGGCCGAGATGGCGTTGCGATTAGCAGGTGCACTGCGTAGCGCTGTACTGACGCGTCAAGCCCCCAGCCTCCAACCGAGGGAAGGAAAGTGCGAACCGAAAGTCACAAAAAAAGCAGCAAAAAATAGCACAAAGTTTCATCGATAGCAGCTATGGGAAAACCGCGGTCGCGTCCAGGCAAATGCCTTCCAAACAATTGTCGAAACAAAATGGGCGTTAGAGATACTTGTGCTGAAGAATTCCGTTGGCTGACACACTTCCACTAAAGTCACAGTTTAACCGAAGCATCACCGCAAAAGAGCAGAGAGTGGCGACATCGACTGGCCTGCTTTTTACGGAGGACTGCAGGAGCGCGCGCACACACACTTACACGGACACACACACACACACACACACACCTCTTTGTGTGCGCCCTGCTCGCCCTTTTGCCCGCCTCTTTCCGCGTAAGAAGAGAGCAATCAGATGGCGCGGCATTGAGGCGCGCCGCGGCGCTCCGTTGCCAAATGCCGGGAATTTCGATGGACTTCCCTGCGAGAGTGTGTGTGCGTATGGCGGCGCACAGTGGGCCAGAACACCGGTGGAGGCGGACAAAATCCCGGACGCGTTTTGAGCTCCAGAGTCGCTAAATGGGACTCGAGCAGACCGTGCGACCCCGCCAATGGATTGCTCTCCGAAAGAGGAATCCATTGGTGGGGTCACACGTTCGGTTCGAGTCCTGTTTAGCGACTCTGGAGCTCAAAAAGCGTCTAGAGTATTGGCCGCCACCACCGGCCTCCTGGCCCGTCCTGGCCGACTGTGCGGCGTCTATCGTGTCGCGTAAAAACGGGCAATAAGAGAGCGAAAAAATAATTTTGGGATCAAGTTCAGTAGCACCGAATGTCGTCACTCGGCCTGTCTCTTTTTCCCCCCGCCTCTTTTTTCCGTGGCCCTGAGAAGCGAGTACTCGGTTCTGACTGCGTCAGACTGGTGGCGTCAAGCCGAGGGGGCCCTTCGCTGCAGGCCGATTCCGAGAGTCCTTTCCGTCGCTCTGTCTCTCTCGCACTCATGGAGCGTCCTATGCGGGTGCGAGAGAGACAGAGCGACGAAAACGACCCTCGGAGACAGTCTGGCTGCGGCATCTGCCGCGGCAAGGCCGCAACCGGTTCGCGCCAGCCACCCCCACCACCAAGGTGCCGCAAGCAAGGCCGTAGGAGAAACCGGGTACCCGCTTCGTCTCTTCTCGGCATTCCCATCCCACACGCCCCCCCCCCCCTTCCCGCTTGTGTAACCGCTTTCCCGGGGCCTCGGCATGAGCACCACGGCCGCTGTGCTGGAGAGAGAGAGAGAGAGAGAGAGAGAGAGAGAGAGAGAGAGAGAGCTGCGTCGCCAGGCCGGGAGCGACAGAGACATCCGCTTTAGCGAAGCGGGTACCCGCTCTGCGGTGGAGGCGCAACCGACTACCGAGTACCCGACCCGGATACCTCGCTGCCTGGCGGCTCGAGGCTGGAGGCTGGAGCGTGGAGGGGGACGAACGATTTGCTCCGTCATCCGAACGCAGGGAGCCGGACGGATGAGTCGAAAACGTGTGACCCCACCAATGGATTCCTCGTTCGGAGAGCAATCCATTGGTGGGGTCACACGTTCGGTTCGAGTCCCAGTTAGCGACTCTGGAGCTCAAAACGCGTCTAGAGTTTTGGCCGCCTCCACCGGTCTTCTGGGTTCCCTCGGGGTGCGAGGGAGACAGCGGCACGCTTCCGGCCGGAGAAAGGCGCGGCGCCCCGAGGGACCCGAGGGTGCGAGAGAGACAGACAGGGATGGTTGGCGGTCTGGCCGGAGCGGGCGTGGCGGCATGCTGGCGGGCGGGGACTGCCCGTGCCCGGGGCGCGGAGGCCGGCGGAGACACCGACACCCGCAGCGCTTTCTGTCTCCCTCCCACTCACGGCGCGCCGTGGCGATCCGCAGGGGTGCGAGAGAGAGACACACACAGCGGCGTGTTTGTGTAGCCGACCCGCCACCGCCATTGATAACCCAAACTTCCGCGCAGACACTGTGTCACACGCCGATACACCGATCAGGCGGTTCGATGAATCGAATCCCGCCGCATGGCCGTGCCGGCATCCCGTTCCAGTCGGTTCGACAACCGGACTCACCCACGACCCCTGGGACGAGACGCCCCATGAGTGCGAGAGAGACAGAGCGACGAGGCGCCGCACAGTGGGCCAGAAGATCGGTGGAGGCGGTCAAAATCCCGGACGCGTTTTGAGCTCCAGAGTCGCTAAGTGGGACTCGAACCGAACGTGTGACCCCACCAATGGATTGCTCTCCGAACGAGGAATCCATTGGTGGGGTCACACGCTCGGTTCGAGCCCTGTCTGGCGACAGTGTGCCGCACACTCCGGAGAAGGGCGGCGGCCAAGCCTGGGCATTCCCCGCTGCGTTGGCCTTTGGGCCTTTGCAGCGCCACACACCGCCAAAAAGTCGCGGGTTCGAATACCGTCCGGGCCGTATTTCTTTTGCGGCGGCGCCGTGCCGGGCGTACCGCGCGCTCGACCGCGATGCGCCGAGCTGCCGAGCGTCCAAGTCTCCACTTGGCCTCCGACGCGGCCTCGGCGCGGCCCTCAAGGGGGTGGCGCTGGTGGTGAGGGAGGGGGAGGGGGGGGGGGGGTGTTGGAGGGGCCAACGCCTTTTTCGAGGCCCAGCTCACAGAGGGCCAGAAGATCGGCGCAGGCGGCCAAAGCTCTAGACGCGTTTTGAGCTCCAGAGTCGTTAAATGGGACTCGAACCGAACGTGTGACCCCACCAATGGACTGCTCTCGGAACGAGGAATAAATCAGTGGGGTCACACGTTCAGTTCGAGTCCCATTTAGCGACTCTGGAGCTCAAAACGCGTCTAGAATTTCGGCCGCCTCCACCGGTCTTCTGGCCCACTGTGCGGAGTGGTCGGATTCTTTTGCAAGTGGCCATGCGTTCGCCCAAGGCGGTCCGGGCTGCCTGGGGCTGCGCGCGCGGGGCAGTGCAACCAGTGCCACGGCCGAGGCCGTGCTGGAGCCGAACACACCTCGAGCAACCAGCCGAGCGAGTCGTTTCGTCGCTCTGTCTCTCTCGCACTCATGGGACTCTCCCTAAGGGTGCGAGAGAGACAGAGCGACGGCAGGCACGGCAAGCAGCCACCCCAAAGTCCGCAAGAATGTGTCCGGCAACCACACGCCGCCACACGCCACCCCGCGGGCTGCCCAGGGCCCCAGGGCTGCACAGTGGGCCAGGGGACCGGTGCCGGCGGACAAAATTCTAGGCGCGTTTTGAGCTCCAGAGTCGCTAAATGGGACTCGAACCGAACGTGTGACCCCACCAATGGATTGCTCTCCGAACGAGGAATCCATTGGTGGGGTCACACGTTCGGTTCGAGTCTCGTTTAGCGACTCTGGAGCTCAAAACGCGTCCGGGGTTTTGGCCGCCTCCACCGGTCTTCTGGCCCACTGTGGGCTGCCGGCCCGTTCCGCAAGTCGCGTCTGTCTCTCTCGCACCCCGCGTGCCCGCTCCGCGAGTGCGAGAGAGACAGATCGCCACCAGTTCGAAATCAGCCTGCTGGTGCCGCAACTGGATATTCCGCCGCGCACCACAAGCGAGCAGTCGTCACCCTACTCGCCAGAAAACTCCCCAAATCCCAGAAAACGGGAACCCAGTCAAAAGCTGTACGAGGGGCGCCGCTTGGCCTGTCGTCACAACGCAAGAAATGATGGTCGCAGAAAGGTGGTGCTTACCGAGGAAAAGGCCGACATGCTTCCGGAACCAAATTCCGACATTTTAACAAACGCCAAGCATCCGGGCTGCGAGCGGGAGCGCCCCGCAGGGAGGGCGGAGTAGTGATTTTATGGCGCCCCCTTCGCTGCTCTCCGAACGAGGAATCCATTGGTGGGGCCACACGTTCGGCTCGAGTCCTGTTTAGTGACTCTGGAGCTCAACGCGTCTAGAGTTTTGACTGCCTCCACCGGTCTTCTGGCCCACTGTACCAACTGTCCTTTACCTTCATCGTGTCGGCTCGTAGAATGGGGGTCGGATGGGGCTTCCCTGGCGGAGTTGGCGGCGTCGACGGCGTCCTGGAGCGGCAAGGGCTGGGCACTCGGTGACCGCGGCGGGGCGCAGGGCGAGGCGCGGGGCTCGGCGGGTCGCGGCGGACTGGGATGCGCTGTGCGATGCACTGCTCGCCGAGCCTAGCGGCCTGTTGCCTTGTGGCACTTGTGGCCTAGCCGAATGGACCGCCAGCGGCAAGCCAGCGGCAAGCCAGCGGCCAGTGGCTGCCCCTGCCAGAGCGGCCCACGGCCCCCACGGCCCCCACGGCCCTCGCGGTGGAAGGGGAAGGCTCTGCACCGTCAGCAAGCGGCCGCGAGCGTCGTGGAGCTACCCGGAGCTACCCGGAGGTACTACCCGGAGCTACCCGGAGGCGGTACTGACTCGCTTCCGGCGTGGTGGCGGCGCCGTTGTCCGGCCGGGAGGACGTGCACTTCGACGACGCGAGTAGCGAAGCACAGTGGGCCAGAAGACCGGTGGAGGCGGCCAAAACTCCAGACGCGTTTTGAGCTCCAGAGCCGCTAAGTGGGACTCGAACCGAACGTGTGGCCCCACCAATGGATTGCTCTCCGAACGAGGAATCCATTGGTGGGGTCACACGTACGGCTCAAGTACTGTTTAGCGACCCTTGAGCTCAAAACGCCTCTGGACTTTTTGCCGCCGCCACCTGTCTTGGCCTACTGGCCGTACTCATGGTCGCCGGGCCCCGAAATGGCTCACGATCAATTGTGGTCCAGCCTCGCAAGTTCAAGTGGTTCAAGTTGGAGGCCGCCTAGCAGGTAGGCAGGACGCCACGGGCGTGTGCGAGTGGCTGCCTACCCTCCGGGCGCTTTGCTGAAGCCTCGGAACCTTGGACTGCCGCAAGACCTGCAGCGCGCCTTTTACGTAGCGGCAAACGAGGGCGCCTCGTCGTTAATGCAACCGCATTCGTGATGGGACTTCCCTGAGGAATGACTGCACTGCCTGAAAGACCCTACGGTTATACTCCCCACCCAGGATAGCCCTGTGGCTGCCACAAGAGTCCTAGACGTTCAGGTCTCTGGGCTCCACCCACCCACACCCAACGAGTATTTGCAGGAAGTCGTTGTTATTCGCAGGGAAAGTCACAGCTGTTATGACGACCATCGTCTGCTGCAAGTTTCGTCGTCTTTGGCTGGTTTTTAATTACTTGGTGATCAGGTGACCCATCACGAAACTTTGGGCATGTTCTTTAAATCGTCCATCTAGTTATGTTTAAGTCGTGATCGTGACATTTGCATTATTCGAGTGGAGGTTATGGTCGTTGTCGTGCAAGTGTACAGTCTGCAGTGACAGTAGTTACATACTACCGATGCAGACGCAAATAAAAGACGTAAGTAATTTCCTATTGCAATTTGCTAAATTTCACGTACATTAAGTTGCATATTGATTTTCGTCAATAACATTACTTGTTTCTGTCATTGTCCATCCCTACCCTGTGTATGTGAGTTTTGTAGATATTTTTTCTTTGCTTGTACAGAAATTTTATCATGGATGATCAAGACGATTCATCTAATGAGGTGGACCTGGCTATTGGAAGCAGAGTTTGTCAAGTACCGAAAGATAACAGTGAACATGGAAGTTCTAAGGTGAAGCGGCAAGTCCTTTTAGTTATTTATTCCTCGTGTCAGAATGTTTTGTTTCAATTGGTATTTTTGCAGGTGGTCCCTAAAACTGAACCACTTTGTGATAGCGACTATAGTTCATTAGTTGACGTTAAACCTCGACCTCTTCCTGCTTTGCGTCCGGAAATCCCTGATCTCAAGAACATCCACAGCTCACCCGCAATAAATTGGGCTGGTGGGAATTGGCAAGATAGCTCAAGAAAAAGTGCTTTTCAGCCTTACAGAGTAAGTAGAATTAAACTTCTCCTCTAGGTGGAATTTTAGCTGATTTTTGCTCATTGATGTCACAAATTTTATAGCCAACAACATTATTAACAAATCTTCAAAGAGGAAATACACAAACCCAGACCCCTGTTATTGAGAAAGAAGAGGTCAGTCTTCACGAGAGGGCGGGACAAGGAGAAATAACAGAAGCTGAACTGAAGCAAGGTATGTGTTTCAGAAGAAATTGTATTCATTTCATTTCATGCAATTTTGAGGACAATGGGATCAGGTCACAAATTTAGAGAAATCGACAAAAGATGAACACCCAAATACTGAATATTTATTTTTTAACACTGAGATAAAGATTAATACACATAAGTTTCAGTAATAAGGAAAATTTGTCACCAAATGTGTTTACATGGGTTCGTAAGAATAATTACAATGAAATACAACTGCTCCTTAAAAATTAAAAATAAAAACCTGCTCCGCTGTAAGACCAGTTTTTCTCTTCTTGTCTTTCATATTACACGGTAGCACGCAAAAGAACAAGCATTTTAAAAGAGGCCTCTTGAACCCCTTAACAAGCTGATAGTTAATGTCAGCCTTCGTATTGTATTGCTGTTTTAAAAAATGCCAATTTTTGTGGGTTTATTTTGTGATCTAATACATTTTATGTACGCTAAGGAAATGTTTTAGTTTTCTTTTTTAAAATGAAAGTTTTGATTTTCAACCCTGTCGTTAAGTGGATAAAATCTTAATTTCTTAATCACAAACTTTGCTACAGTATTAATAGACATTCACAGAGGACTGTATTTCTGTCTTTGCCACTCTTTTATATGTTCTATTTTGAGAAGTACAGTAGCTTGTCACTCATTGTTTTCTTATTTTTCATGTCTTTTTCATTTCTATTTGAGCAAAATCTTAAAAATTAATCTTGAACATGAATGATGTTGAGGTTTCGAACTATGACCAGATTTCTTATTTGCTCTTTGTTTTTCCATAGAGGGCAAGATTGATTCTCCCGATGAGAATGGTCTAACGCCTCTGATGTGGTCCGCTGCCTACGGTCAGTTGTCAGCAGTACAACTGTTCCTGAAACATGGAGCCAGGATTGACGCCAGAGGCCCAGAGGGTGAGACAGCACTTCTTTTAGCATCTGCAGCGGGTCACCATGACATAGTGAAACTACTTCTCAACGGGGGAGCTTCATTAAACCACTGTGATGATGTGAGTAAACCATACTTCCATACGGTAAACCATACCATTGCAATTCTTGCAGAATCAATCTTGGCCTCATACTTTCTTACTACTCATCTATACGTGCTACTGATGTTTGTACCAAATGCAGAACAAATATGAAATGAGACACCAAAAGAATTTAACTGTGAAGCATAGTGTTAATAAAATTAAAAGACAGTTGCTATGAACAGTTTAAACATGATAACATCAAATTATAAAACGTCAACACACATGGCCATCAAACACACTAGGCTCAATCTAACAACAACTTTAGAGCCGTACACTCTTAAAATTATTGACATATTGTAACAGTTTCAAAATTATTCTAATAGAATTAGAGCTCATCTCATGCACCACCTAGTTCAATACTTAACCTTCTAATATTTCACTCAGGGACGGACAATCAAAATGGGTCAATAATATGCATCTATTTCATACTCATAACAAATATAGGGGACTCTTTTTATATCAGATAGTACATTCCATTATTATTATTATTATTTAAATAAATACATCATTTACATTTTACAGATTGTCTCAAACAGAAAATAACATGAAAAGAAAGTACTGTAGTGAATAAGATTGAGTGCACAATGACAAAAAGATATGCGTCAAAGAAAAATTCAGCACCGATTTCATTTAAAATATAAATAGAGTAATTTGAAGGCCTGCTTTGTTCTTCACAAGATTTAGCAGACTTCACAATGGCAGTGGTTCAATATTTTGCATCATGGAGGAGTGGGGAGAAGTTGGAGAAAAGTACCTGAAATATGCCTTGCGGAGATTAGCAGAGAGCTTTCAACATTTAAGGAGGAAATGAAATGAAAGTGAAGCTGGACTTAAAAGACCAACTCAAGCTTTATAATTTACTTAGATAACACTTCTACAGAAGTGAGACTCCAGGTACCAGTAGCTGAAAAAATTTTCTACTACAGTCCACATAGTTTGTTAATCAATAAAATCAAGTTATCAGATGAAAACCTTTCTCCAATGAACATTTATAGTTGAATATGAGTATCAACAAGATTATTCTTCAGATTTAGATCTGCAACTAATTAAAAGTAACAAAGAGACACATCCTAATTAAAATTTCTGAAAATCAGGTCAATCAGGTAACAAACAATCTAGAATAATTTCCACAATACAGTAATAAATTATTTGGCAAAAACAACTACATATCACAAAGACATAAAATTACTTTGGAAACAAAATGCAACAACCACAAAATCCTTGCCCATGAACAAACTTATCATAAATCAAATCAAATAAATGTAGAGCCATGCATAGTTCTCAGTAGAGAATGAGAAGAAATTCAATTGAAGTGGTTGATGAAAACCTTGCCATTAGGCCCATATAGAGTGTTAAATGCATACAATGAGAGTGACAAAAAAATCATGGCAAAACAAAGCTGTAGTTTCAAAACAGATGAGAGGAAAAATGCTCAAGAATCACAGATAAGTTGGTCTATGTGATGATTTTCACTTTGGATGGAATGGGAAAAGAATGTTTAGCAGGTTGAGTAATGCACAAACAAATAATTGACATTGTACACTTTGAATTAGCACCTTTCCCAAATGAAAGTTTGTGGAATGTATAATAAATAATTTGAGCAACTCAACTGCCAGGGTAATTATGTAACAACCAGCAAAACACAAAACTCCATTTCAAAATGATAATTGAGTGTGAATTTGCCATGCCTGTTTGAAAGCTTGTTCAATAATATTAAGAATGTGCTATGGACATGCTATAGAAAACTACGACAAAATCTCACAAAAAATATGGATATCATTGGAAAAAAGAACCATAATACATGGACAAGTGTAAAATGAAGTACACAATTAAAAAAACAAAATTTAAATTAGGTTCCATGCAAGAACATTCTGTCAGCAATAATAGCACTGCTGGAGGAATTGATTATGTGGATATCAATATCAATTCATAAGATCCATTTCATACAGTAAAAAGTGACACAAAACTAGACTTCAAAATGATTTTCCAGAACAACATAAAAGAAGCACTCTTTTCCCTTAGATCAACAGGAAAGAAACAATAAGAATTTAGGACGGGAAAGTAGATGTTAACTTCAAGCTACATCTTTGACATGGATAATAATGAATAAGACTTGATTACGTACACAGTACTTGAACCTAATCATACTTAAATTTCAACTCAGTACTGACCAGCAGCACTGCAGTTATTGATTTGTAAGACAACCAACTCTGATATCATCATTCATAGACTTCAGTCATAAATGCACAAATACTTAAGTAAATACTTTGACACAATAGAAAGTAATAAACACACAATTTTCTTTGCATGCAAACAGACAGCGGTCACCAATCTACGTATTATTTTAGCACAAGAGAGGTCATTGAAACTACAACACACAATCGACAAAACACACATGTAACGTTGAGGGTAGAAAGAATTGATTTGGTCTTGACAATTAAGAGTAGATGACAATAATAATTATTTAAACAATGACTTCAAACCACAAAGTAGTATTTGTAATAAGTGATAAAGAACACAGGTTTAGAGGGGCTTAAGTTGGATCAAAGTAAGGGTAAAAAGAATGAATTAAGCCATTAAGACAGTCTGATATAAACAGCCATAAAACACACATAACTGACTATCTTCATTTGTGTCCATACTTGAATTTGTATGTAGGACACAGACACATTAAAAGTAGCATCTCAATTGAGGCCATGATTAAGGATATTAATAATAATAATAAAATGCACAGGAAGTGTATTCTAATGTACACCTGGATGACTGTTCTAGGTTGGAAATACTGCCCTGATGTATGCAGCTCATGGTGATCATCCGCACTGTGTAAATGAACTTCTGCTTCGAGGAGCAGATTTCACAGTATCAAACGAATCTGGAGATACAGCTTACACTATAGTTGTCCGAAACAACAGCCAACTAGGTAAGTCATTTTCTCTGCTTATTTTTTGAAGTTCTGAAAATGAACATAATAATTGATTTTGTAAAATTTCTTTTCCAGCACAAGCGGTCATTGAGAATCATCTTCTCACATTAATCGGATAATGTGAAACGCAACTACACCAACTACCCATCAACTTCATGTGATACCATCAGTTTTGTGAGATACTTTTCACATGTTAGAAACAAACCATTAAAGTCCTCATAATTATAACATTAAATGCAATCAAAATTTGTGTTTCTTGAATCCATTTGATAGAATCAAAGTTAATTCAAAAAAGAAAAAAAAAGAGAATCTTGTACATTTTCTGATGTTGTCTGCCTACACCTCAGCATAGTGTTTGTGAGACGGCAATCGATGTTTCTTTCGCTGTTGCCAAGCAAGTTGCATTGCCCATATAGCAAGGGGTCTCATGTAACCAATGGAGCGGTAATGATTCTTCTCATATAATGCCTCTGGTGTTTCAAAGCCAAGACCTATGCGGTTGTAGACAGTATTGAACATGCCACCTGCTGTAAGAAATGCTTCTTCCTCCATATTCTTTAAAAAAAAAAAAAAAAAAGAGAGGGTTTTGTTACAAAATTGTTTTGAATAACATGTAATGAATCACACCTGGATTAAAATGCAACCTACCTCATGTATCATCAGTGCACATAAGCCATACACGACCCCAGTCCACACTTCCTCACTTTGGATTGTCGTTGTGTCAACCTGGCCTGATGGCAACATCCCATTTACTGCTCCCATCCTCCCTTCACAGAAGCCCATCACATTCAAGCGGAATATTGTTTTCAGAGCAGACTTGACATTTTCAGCAGGAAACACCTAGAGAGTTAAAGGTTCAATTTTACTTTCCAATATTTTAGTGTAGGAGGCTGTCATAAGTCAAATCTACGGCAAAATTAGAATGAAACAAAACCATCAACAACATTACATTCAAGAAGTTCTCAAAAGCAAAGAAATTTAATTTTTACAAGATTTTGCTTTAGTTAGATTTGACCAAACAGGTTAACTTACTTCATCTGTAACACCACATGCTCTCAAATACCACTGTCCACATAGCTGATCCGACATGACAGACTTGGAATGGGCAGATTGGGAGCTATCAAAGTTGTAGTACTGACCTACACTTGCAAACAATTTCAAATTATTTGATTGCATGGGTCCATGGTATGATTAGTAGGAACACAAATTTGAATTAGAGAAAGACTCACCATTCCATAGCTTTTCCTCAAAGGAGGCTTTTCCTCTCTCTAAAAGTGCAGCGTATTTATCAATGGCATCTGTGTCTGCAAAGTGAACTGCCATTTTGTGCATGCAGTAAAGAGCTGCCAACCACAAACCTCCACAGTAAGCACTGGAATCAAAGACATTTTTCAATGAATGCTGCTTAGTACTAATTTGGTGCTCTCCCAAACTGTATATATTTTTAAAATGGCAACAAGAAGGAATAGTACCTTGGTCCTTCCATGACCCAGGTGTCATATGTTTGGTCTGCAGATCCAATGTTTTCAATCAATCCATCACCGTCTCGGTCCCAAGTTTCTGAGGTGTCCATTACCTTCAAAATGTGTGGGGGAAAATAATGAGATTTCTACTTTATGGTAAAGTTGTGAAACTCTGATTTACACCTCTGTCTTGCTCACCTTTTTGCAGCTTGCCCACATATCAGCAAGATATCTTTCATTCTTCATTAATGAGAAGTCTCGCCAAACTTGAAGTACATACTTGAGATTCAAATCTCGCCATTCAGAGACATCGTGGATAGGATATGCATTGATAAGGATGAATGGATCCTCTTCTGCATTGGACACAAAATGTTCAGAGAGAGCCTTATCAATAAGTCTTACAATTTCGTACCTCTACTTTGTATTACTAACCTGGGTCACCAAGATCGTGAGGAACTGTGTTCTTAACTTTACGATCTTGACTTTTGCCATCATACAAATGCCACCTTTGAGTCTTGTTTTCCTGCTCCAGTGTGTCTCTTATGTCGTATTGTAAAACTTCCTGTAGTTTTGGCCACAGCATGGCAAGTGCGAAAGAGGCATAAAAATGTACATCATAGGTGTTATACATCCTGTATTCATGTCCTTCCAGATAGGCAAATCTACCAAACTCATTTCTGGAACAAAATGCAAAATTTCAAATTAATTTCTTCAAGCGGCCCTTCTTTTTTTTTTTTTTTTACAAAAAGGGAGGAAAAAATGAATTGTGGTGATGCTGTATGGATTTTCTCACCTAGGATCATGGATAGGGTCGATGTTCTTATCATCACAAACCAACCACACTGTGCCTCCATCAGCAACAAAATACAACTCATTGAATAGTGCACTGCAATACCATTCTGGCAGATCACTGGAGAGAGAAAAAAGGGGCAAACATTAGTTGCTAAATTATTTTCACAAAAGGGAGTTATGAAAACCTTCAGCCCCTCATTGGATACAGAAAAGTAAGAGGAATTTCAATAAAACCCAAAATATACCTGTCCTCTAAAACAGGTTGCTGCCATTCGTCAATAGCTTCCTCCCAGCGGCCAAAATTGTCCAAGGCATAGGCACACAACACTGATGCTGAGGTTTGCTGTGCGCCTTCTTTCGTGCCAGGCACAGCTGATGTGGTGAAGTCCTGGGTCGTGTAATATCTGAGGCAGGAGCATGACAATTAAATTCAAACTCTAAATGGTAGATACCGCAGAGATTATAATTTAAATTGCAGTAGCTGTACCTTGTATGCCAAGTATTTCCTGTAAATCGCACTTTAGGCATGTGCCACACCAAAGCCATCTCTGTATCCAAGGATGACCCAGCTGGTACAGTCAAACGACTGCAAACTGCCACTCCAAGCTGCTCTCCAGACACTGCAAAACAATCTTGTATAAGTAAAAGAGTTCTGAAATAAGTATGGTTTGTTTTTATTTATTAATGTGCTGATAAACTTAATACAAACCGGTTGGTTTGCTAGCCTCTGGGTCCTGCCACAATTCCCCTTCCTCTTGTAACCGATCCCAAATGTCTGCTCCAGACCCAGCTGGATCAAAGCGTAGCATCTTTGTAATAGATACATTCTCCTAATAACAAAAGTGGTGTCAGAGTCAAATTGGAAGGAACATGATGCCCAGAGCAGATGGGTAAAATTGAATGAGTATGCGCACCTTTTTCTTCACTGCAAGGCCATATGTATAGTCGACGCCATCCATTTGGTGGGCAATCTGGACACCTGTAGCTTGAGCTCCATTTTCCGCTCTATGGTCTAAGGTTGTGCTCATGCAATTTGCTGAAAATAGCAGAATTAATTGGGTTAACATGGAATAAAGGCATCATAATTTTAAGATTAATAGACATCAAATCAGAGTAACTACTCACGTTCTTTATCATCCTCCTTCCGCAACCATTTTTAAAGGTAAAAGTTATGCTAACATGCAGCATTTCTGTGCCTTCATTATGAACAGTCCAAACAAACACAGCACCAGGCAATGTTGAGTCCTGTAAAATTTGCCAAAACATGAAAGTAAATATTTAAAAAAGAGAGTGGACAGACATGCGCCCATGAGAGTAACATTACAATAAATGGATAGGGATAGCTAGATTGAGTTTACATACCTTATAGTTATTTGGTATGACTGGTGACACCTGCCTACACACTAAAGTTACTGCATAATCAGGGATACGGAACACACTCCATGCACGAGGGTAGAGGGCTGTGTACTCCGCTTGTGATCCATCAAAATCCCATTCCCATGCTGACAACTGTTTCTTTGGTTTTCTGATCAATCAAAACAAGTTTCAGTTTAAAAAAATTGAATGCTAGAAACAATAATAGGCTTGTGAAAGAAAAGAAAATATGTACTCACGGATAAACACTAAGGACTTTCTGATATACTGTCTTTTTCTGACTGTTCTGGATTGTTACAATAAAATTATCAGCAGGCACAGTGTTATATTCATATCGTCCAGCTCTCAATTGGAATCGACAAAATTCGCCTCGAAAACCACGTCCAATTGTTCCTCCTCCAATGCCTCCAATAGGAGCACCTAATTGGCAGAAAAATAAATAAGAATGAATGAACGAAGAAAGTATACGTAAATAAGACTTCAAAATCTTGTAAAACGTATAGGTACAGACCATAAATTTGCTTCCCAGTCTCCATTTTTATGTAGTTCATGATAGGCTGGCGGGCGTGGAACGCACTATACATGTGATAGAACACATATCTGAAACGAATCAAAACCACAATAAGATAATATTAATGGAATACAAATTTGTTGGCTTCCCTTTCTTTGTTTGTGAATGCTATGATAACAAAATACAAAGCTAGGAAAATTGGTTTAGGCATCATTGGTCTTATCTTCAGTTATCTTTGATGTGAATTGTTTTCCGAAAAAATAGACACTGTTATCACATTATGGTGAAATGTCAAATAACAATAAGACAATAAAAATTGGTCCTCTTGACAGGTAAACAGAGTGAATCTTTGAACAGTTCAAAGGTAGACTGTGTATGAACAACATTAACCTCAACATTAGTGTTTCCAATGAACAGTAAATATCCTAAACCAGCCTAAACAAACACAGAAATAGCAAAATCGACAAGAACGAGAAGGATTCTCTTCCGAGTTCCTTGCTTGGGCTACCCACCTGAAGGCAAGGGGTAGGAGCTGATAAATTTGGTGCCACCTCGGTCTCAAGTTTTGGTTTCTCTTCTCCTCAAACACATGGTCCATCTTCACCCTCCATCCTACTTTCGGAATGTTGTACTCGTCGGGGAAGTCCTCTGTTGACATTATGGTGCGACTGGCAAGCATTTTGGAGCCGAGAGCGTTTTTTCAGCATCAAAGCAGACAACCCCGCCCACCCTGCAGTCGAGAGGCAGGCAGTCCGGCCGGTCGGAAACCCTGCAGACCACTGAGGTGACGCCCAGATAGCGAAGGCACGGACAAACTCCTGGGTTGGGCTCTGCTTGCCGAGATTTCACACCGGCTAATTTCTTGACTACACGAAGCGGGCTCTCTCTTGAGCAAACTGTGTTAGCTACCTGTGGCCCCCTCTGGTAGCATTTCAACAAGTCTGTGTATGCTCGATGCTCGGCTCGGGGCTCGGGGGTGTGTGTCGTCTGTTTACACCCTCTGCGTCCGAAAGAGCACGAGGGGTGCGTCTCTTTCTCTCGGCGTCTCGGGGTAGCAGCACCAGTGGGAGGGAGAGAGACGGAGAAGAGACGCTTCCTACGCGGCTTTTCGTCTGCTACTAGCAGAAGGCTTCGCGCTGGTTCCGCCCGATTACATCAGCGCTAAGAGGCTACTTCCGTCGTGTTGACTCAGCTATGCGATAACGATTCATGTCCAAACCGTCCTCTCTCCGCTTTCCTCACACACACTACGTTGATCCCTGTTAAACATGAAGAGCTGTCATATAAGGAGATCGAACCGCAATATGTCCCTTCCGTAGCTTCGGGCTCGACTTCGGCTCGTGTTCGTGTTTCCGAGGAACGCGATTCTAGACCCTCTAGTGGCGGCCGCCGCAAGCTCCAAGTTTAGCAAGCAGACAGAAAAGTTTAGAGAGAGAGGTTGTGGTTGTCGATGTTGATTACATTGGAATATGGCCACCATCATGGAAGGGTCTTTGAGTAAATGGACCAATGTAATGAAGGGCTGGCAGTTTCGATGGTTTGTGTTGGACGACAATGCTGGTTTGCTGTCATACTACACGGTAGGTTTACAATGGTGACTAGACCTCTAGTTGTTTGCGGATGATGATTCGGCGTCCAGGGCCAGCCCAATTGACTTGTCACAACTGTCTTTTGCAAACTGGCTGTCATCTGGTGGCTGGAACGTGGAAGCATTTTCCCGAGTCTCAATTTCATTTTCATTTCTCGACCCTGGTCAAATGCTCTGGATTGCTGGTGAGGTTATGTCACGTTCGTCTTGCCTTGATTTCAAATGATAGGCCGTCTGCCGAAGTTTAGCGAGTGGATGTGTTTTGGAGTCTGTCTCTTCATTTCCACTCACAGTGTGAGGTTCGCATCTGCGGTTTTGGGGGTGAATTACTTTGTTGAGCCTATTGCAGCATTGACATAAATCTACTTTGCGTATTTTAAACACAAATACAACATGAAATTGCGCTTAGTTCTCCTTCAAATTTGGAATTTTTTGCTTCGTGATATCATGAGGAACACACTTCACACACTTCAGCCATTTCTTTATTGAGGTTTCCATTTTAAATCTATGTACATTTTGTTCTATTTTTTGCCGTTTTGCTTTGCTTATGAAGCTTTAGCTACTTTAACCTTTTTGGGAGCCTGAGCATTCTTCTTGAAATTCGTTGTATAAAAGTCGTAAAAGAGATAGAAAATAAGGAACACATTGGGAATGTACACATGGGCCAGGTATGTGGGTACGTCACAGCCGGGAAGATAAACCTGTGCTGCATGAGCAATGATTATGCAGAACTGGACCTGGAAAGTAAATTAATTTATTAGTACACAAATTTTGTCTCAGAATCAGATTTTTTATCAAACAGACTTACCATCTGCATGATGGTAATGTAAGGCTTGATTGTATTAATCACTGCTTGGACGGTGGAGTTTTTGTTAATAGAGAGCAGGTAATAAGTATACATGATAATATGTACTAAACTGTTTGGCATAATGGGGAAGGTTGCCATTCCACCTGAAAAAAATAGTTGAAAACAAAATTAATGTCAATGTCAATGTCAATGTCAATGTACTTACACATGCACCTTCACTAGAACTCATTCTGGGACATGCTCACCTCCAATGAATTTACATCCTACCCAGCATAGGAGGAAGGTGGAAACATGGTGATACACATGCAGGAAAGAGATCTGTCTATCCTTTTTTCTTAAGACAAACACTACCTGTAATTTGATTGTTATTAATTAATACAGTACAATCATTAATAATTACAGCAACTTTACAAAAATTGTGGTTGCTTACAGTTTCAATGAATTCTGATAATTTCAAGAGGGTCGTCCACCAGACTAATTCCAACATCTGTAACAAGGTGTTAATATTTGCTGTTAACCAGAACAATCCCGATGTTATTTTCAAGTGAATTGATTGAAACTTACTTTTACGGCTTCTGGATTATCGGAATAGTCAACTGGTTGACATCCTAATGAGTATGTTGTTGTCCAACCAGTTGTCAGCACCTAAAAGAAATTATTGTTTCTTAGGACTGAAAACAATGGTCACTTAATTACCTCAAGGCTTTATGAATATGAAGATACTTACTTTCCAAAAGAGGATGGTGCATGCTAAAACCTGATATATATTATAGTAGAAAATAAATGTGTCTAGCTTGTATGCTGGTCGGTTTTTCATGTATCTAGGTCCAGCCACAAGTACAATGAACAGATACAGAGCACATAATCCCAATGGCCAATTAAGTGTGTTCATGAATAGCCAGTCTTTGCAGCGAGGGTCTGAAAGTCAAAATATCTGTTATCCCTTGTATCTTTAGTGGAAACTTGATTTCAGATGTTTCCAGAAACACACGCTAAGTAGTTTTACTCTATCATCCAATGTCTTGTATGTACTCACCAGACTTTTCAGCTAACAACCAGTTGACGTCCTCTATGAAACCCATGGTGTTTTCTTGTCTTTCTTGGCTACACAAAAATTAGTCTTCTTTTGTAAGTTTAGGTCTTGGTTCCTAAAGGGTTCCACTTAATGGCTGGTCTAGGTCTGCCTTAGGACTGGTTGAAGCCGCGCTGCCCCGCCTGCGTGGTGCAGGGTCGGTGGCTTGGACACAAATGGAAATTAGAATGCTAATCATGAGTATTTATTGGATTCGGTGGGCCGGGGGGCCTCCGCCAGGGCTGTGCCACGGCGCCAGAGTGTCCTTGGTTGTTCTTTCAGCCAGTTTGCTCTGTCCTTTGCTTCCCTCTTATTTGTTTTGAGTTGGTGCTAATGCTCAATGCAAATAAATACCCCAATCTTTGAATAAATGGCTCTAGAGTACCGAGGCTTTTATGACCTCTTTAGAGGTGGTTTGTTTATTTGCTCAAAAGTCCTCAGAAAATTGTAAATTTTTTATTTTTCTTTTTTGGTGATATTTTGGGGTAAAGGCAAATGAATGTTCTATTTCTGTGCAGTCACGAGAAAAAATGATCCGTGGCGTTCGGAGAGGCTGTGTGCGACTCAAAGGAGCTGTCATTGGAATAGACGATGAGGACGACAGCACTTTCACAATCACGGTGGACAGTAAGACTTTTCATTTTCAAGCAAGAGATGCTGATGAGAGGGAGAAGTGGATTCGAGCACTTGAGGACACAATTTTAAGACATGCTCATAAGGTGAGGCAAAGTGCTTTTCTTCTTGTTCCAAGTTTGGCTCCCTGTTCACTATCTTATCTGGTCACAATTCTGTCTTAGCTGCGTTGGGATCCATCCAAGCCAGCTCCTTCTGTTCAAGATTTTGATAAAAAGTTGGTTGAAGCAGATGCTTACCTGCAGATTTTGATTGATCAAATAGAGGTAAAACTGTCTCTCTTTTTTTCTTTTTTATCTGGTTGCAATTTATGTTGCGTCTTGCCTAAGACTGGCATTCTGTGTTACAGGCTTTGGAAGATCGAATAGATAAAATGCAAGACCCCTCAGACAAATCTCATGGACTTCACATTCGGGACCATGCAAATGTAAGCTATACAGTAATGAATATCAAGAAACCTTTATGAATTAATGCCGTATGTTGCTCCTAATTATTAATTAATGTTTTTCAGTCTCTACTTGAAAATGTGAAACATTCCATTGTGCTTCTCCAAATAGCAAAGGTTTGTCTGTGATTAGAACTGAATTTATATTATGTAGGACTGAATTTTTATTGCTTACACTTATCATTTGTTTTTAATTCTGCAGAATACTGCTCATCCTGTTAATGGCATTTTCCAACCAGCTACATCTAGCTATACATTAAATGATTCTTCTCCTACTTCAAAGCAAGATTCAGGTAATAGCAGTGAGACCAACGTCCCATTCTGTACATCCTCCTTCGCTTAAATAATGATAATAATTGACTTCAAATTTTTAAAAACAACATTTATCTCCCTTGTGATTCTTCGACTCTTAACCAGTTTGCAACAAAGTACCTTGCATGTCTGTGGTCACTAACAAAAAATAATACAAACATGAGTTATTATTCCTATAGCATTGTATTTGAAATAAGCCGCTTGGGTCAGTCTTGCTCTCAAGTTTGTGTGCGGTGTAGAGGTGGGATTGGGGCTGATGTATGTGGTGAGAGTTGCCAGGGAGTGTGTGTGATGTTGTGTGGTGTCGCAGGGCCGGACATGGCGAGTCTTACCTCCACTGTGGTGCACACTGGCATCGAAATGGGAGCCGAATGCGTGGCCAATATTCCACCGTCTTCTCCTTCTGGCGGACCTCCTGTGCCACCTGGCTCCCTCCCTCTCTCTCTGTCTGGTTAGTTGATGCTAGTCGTCTTTCTTGCATGCCATTCCCCATTGACGCGCAGTGGGCCAGAAGACCGGTGGAGGCGGTAAAAATCCCGGACGCGTTTTGAGCTGCAGAGTCGCTAAATGGGACTCGAACCGAACGTGTGACCCCACCAATGGATTGCTCTCCTAACGAGGAATCCATTGGTGGGGTCTGACGCTCGGTTCAAGCCCCGTTTAGCAACTCTGGAGCTCAACACGCGTCTAGAGTTTTGGCCGCCCCGCCGGTCTTCTGGCCCACTGTGTGACGTTTGCCAAACTCCAACTAACTCGGCTTGGGGACTTTTGTGTGTTGAACGTGGCCCAGGGGCGGATCCGGGGCCGGGGTGCTGGGTGGGTGCTGAAGCCTCGGCTGAAGCTGCATGCTGTGCCTGCTCTCCTCCTTCCCCCTTCCCCCTTCCCCTTCCTGACGGCGCTCTTTGGTCAGACCGGGAAAACCCCTGTGGCGCCTTGAAATCGAGACCCCAAACAGTTGCCCCTGACCTAACTCAACTACGAGTTTGCACATGAAGGTGGCTACATTGTTAATCGTGAACGTGAATGAATGTTGCTTGTGGCCATCGCACGGTACCGAGTCGCTACCTGTAGTGACCGTTACAGTGTGTACTGAGTTGAACCGGCGTTGAGAGTCCAAATTCTGGTGTTGCAGCGCTCAGTGTGACCGGCGGGGCGCACCGACCAAGCATGACCCTCCTGGTCCCGGACATCTCCTACTCGAGCTCCGAGGACGAGGACTTCTACGACGCCAATGACTACACGTCGACCCCCAACAGCGTCCAGTAAGTGACCAACATCAGGACTGTTGAACGGCGCGACGCTGTGGTGGCTCCGAGAACGCGCGAAGCCCTGGTGGAGCCCTGGTGAAATCCTGGTGAAACCGTGGTGAAGCCGTGGTGAAGCCGTGGTGAAACCGTGGTGAAGCCGTGGTGAAGCCGTGGTGAAACCGTGGTGAAACCGTGGTGAAGCCCTGGCGAAGCCCTAGTGAACCCGTCGTGAAACACTGGTGAAACCCTGATGAAACCCTGGGCGTGGCCTGGTGAAGCCCTCCGTCATCGCTTTGGCGATGACGGGAAGCCCTGGTGAGGCCCAGGTGTTGCCCTGACGACAGGTGAAGCCCTGGTCCGGAGGGGAGGGTCTCGAGTTTGTCGGAAACGGCGTTCAGTTCCGATACTGCTGAGCCTGCTGAGGGCGGGCTTCTTCGCACATTTGACTCGGCAGAAACATTTTCAAGTGTCGCTCTGCTGGCGCCCATGGCGCGCGGCCGCCACGGCACGGCCGGCGAGTCGCTTTGGAAGGGTAACGAGCTGAACCCTGAAGCCTCGCCACGGCCACGCCACGGCCACGCCACGGCCACGGCAATGCCGGCCGCTAACCTAACCTATTCCAACCTTCCAATTGGAAGCCAGCAAAACGGGGCGGCCAGGTAGTCGGCGCCGTGTCCACCTATGTCCACCGTGTTCGCCGCGGCCGGCTGACGCAGGCCGACGCAGACTGACGCAGGCACAGGTCATGCAGGCCCAGGCCGTGACGTAGCGCCAGCCAACGCGACCAACGGCCACCCGCACAGTGGGCCAGAAGACCGGTGGAGGCGGCCAAAACTCTTGACGCAGTTTGAGCAGCAGAGTCGCTAAACAGGAGTCAAACCGAGCGTGTGACCCCACCAATGGATTGCTCTCCGAACGAGGAATCCATTGGTGGGGTCACACGTTCGGTTCGAGTCCCATTTAGCGACTATGGAGCTCAAAGCGCGTCCAGAGTTTTGGCCGCCTCCACTGGTCTTCTGGCCCACTGTGACTGGCCCGCACGGGTGCGAGAGAGACAGAGCGCCCGTCTGCGGCGAGCTGGCCGGCACGTGTCCCACGTGTTGGTCGCGCGTCGGGAAGAACGGCGGGAAAAGGAAGGGACGGCGGCGCCGGGCCTCGAACCCGCGACCCGCCGGGCGGTCCTGCCGGGCAGCGCGAGCAGTGTGCGCACTTTGTCCTGCAGGACTCAATTGGGAAAGTGGGGCAGTGACGCCAGTGCGCTTGGCAGTGGCGTGGCGGGGCCTGCCGTGGCGATGCGCGTGGGAGGGGCACGCCCCGCCACGCCCCGCCACGCCGACAAGTGCAAGGTGCCTTCGGTCAAAGGCCTCACTGTGGGCGAGACGACCGGTGGAGGCGGCCAAAATCCTAGACGCGTTTTGAGCTCCAGAGTCGCTGAATAGGACTCGAGCCGAACGTGTGACCCCACCAATGGATCGCTCTCCGAACGAGGAATCCATTGGTGGGGTGGTCACACGCTCGATTCAGGTCCCATTCAGCGACTCTGGAGCTCTAAACGCGTCTAGCAAAGCGGTCTTCTGGCGCACTGTGCACTGCACGCGTGAAGTGGCCGAGCCCTCTCCTTTTCCTCGCGAAAATGCATGCAAGCAGGGGAGCGCCCTGCCCCGCAGGGCCTCTGCGCCTCTGGGGCCGCATAAGTGTGATGTGTAGTGGCCTCGCAGTGCTGCAGACCGATTCCGGGAGTCGTTTTCGTCGCCCTGTCTCTCTCGCGCCGACAAGGGATGCGCCGTGAGTGCGAGAGAGACGGCAAAGGCACCGACTCTCGGACCGTCTGCTGCATTGCACGCCGCGCCGTGACATGACGTCCCAGGACGTCGCAGGACGTCCCCGAGGCTCGCCCTGCCTCGCCCTGCTCCCCCTCGAGGCCCCCGCCCGCTCGCCGACCATTCCCACCTCGCCATAATTTATGCAGTTGTAGTCTGCTTCGCCTTTTTTGTTCATTTAGCTGAAGCGGCGCTTCGAAGTCGCCGTGCTCCTGCAGGTTGATTCCGCCCGGCGCTTGCTCGATCTGTCTCTCTCGCACGCACGGGGGACGCCCCGCACCGTGGGCCAGAAGACCGGCGGCCGAAACTCTGGACGCGTTTGAGCTGCAAAGTCGCTAAACAGGCCTCGAACCGAATGGATTGCTCGTTCGGAGGGCAATCCACTGGTGGGGTCATACGTTCGGTTCGAGTCCCACTTAGCGACTCTGGAGCTCAAAACGCGTCTGGAATTTTGGCCGCCTCCACCGGTCTTCAGGACCACTGTGCGACGGATCAGTCTGCTGCCTCGCGTGTAATTTATTCATGACTGGCCATTAGAGAGGCCGACTGGCTGCTCGGCATTTCCCTTGTCGCTTCCACGTGGCACCGCGTGGCACCGCGTGGAAGGAGAGCGCTGTTCGAAAACCGGCTGAAAATGAAAAAGCCTTTCATTTTGAGTGGGTTCTTTTTTTTTTCGCTTTGCGTCAATTTTGACCGTCGTACAGTGGGCCAGAAGACCAAACCTTTAGACGCGCTTTGAGCTCCAGAGTCGCTAAATGGGACTCCGATCCGAACGTGTGACCCCCACCAATGGATTCCTCGTTCGGAGAGCAATCCATTGGTGGGGTCACACGTTCGCTTCGAGTCCCATTTAGCGACTCTGGAGCTCAAAACGCGTCTGGAGTTTTGGCCGCCTCCAGCGGTCTTCTGGCAAGTCCACTGTGGCGGAGGAAGCACGGTGGCCTGCATGGCGCACTGCATGGCCACTGCGGAGCGGTGGGCCGACTGGCGAGGAACCTGTCCCGTCCTGGCACGTTCGACCTAACTGACTGCACGTCCCTCTCTTCATTTCTTGCCATTTTGTCTCCCCTTCCCCCTCCCCCGCCACCGCCAGTGGCGGCAGTGGCGCCCGGAGGGGCGGCGGGGGCGGCCACCCCCACGGGGTACCTCTGCGCTACGCCCCCGGCTGCCCCCGGCCGCCCCCGGCTTGGCGCTGCGAGCGCTGCGCCGCGGAGCGCGGACTGGGACGTGTTCCAGCCCGGCGGCCCCCCACATCCCCACCCACATCCCAGATCAATCCCTCCCCCACCCCACCCCGTCCGGCTGGACGCCCCCCCGGCCCCTCCGGCACCTCCCCACAGTGGGCCAGAAGGCCGGTGGAGGCAGCCAAAACTCTAGACGCGTTTTGAGCTCCAGAGTCGCTAAACAGGCCTCGAAACGAACGTGTGACCCCACCAATGGATTCTTCGTTCGGAGAGCAATCCATTGGTGGGGTCACACGTTCGGTTCGAGTGCCATTTAGCGACTCTGGAGCTCAAAACGCGTGGAGAGTTTTGGCCGCCTCCGCCGGCTTCTGGCCCACTGTGCTCCCCCTCCTCGCGGCTGCTCTGCTCCGCCGCACAGCCAACAGCCAGCCAGCAGCGCCAGCAGGCAGCAGGCAGCCACAGTGCTGAGCAGCCAACCTCGCGGGCCAACAACGCCTCCCGCGCAGCCGGGCCGGGCCGCCTGCCGCGCTAACCAACCGCCCCCAGGAACCGACCGCGTCCTTGCTCTCGGACTGCACCGAGGCGGCGGCGGTGCTGGCGGTGCTGCCGCGCGTCGCCCCGTGCTGCCCGTGCTCGCGGAGGGCCTTGGGGCGGCGGGGTGCGCGCGGTGCGGGCGCCGTGTCGCGTCGTCGCGTCGCGTTGCAGCGCTGCCCCAACGCGCCCCATGTTGCGCCGGTTGTACGACTGCAAGGCGAGGATCAGCGATGCCGTCGCAGGCCGCAGGTGAGCGGTTCGAATCCCGGCGGCGGCGGCGCCTTTTCGTCGCCCGGAAAGCCCGCCGCGTTTCCACTTTCACTGGTGGCGTTGTCGCGGCACCGTGCCCATTGTTATCGCGGTGGTGCGAGTCGGCCGCCGCTCTGTCTCTCTCGCACCGCCACGCGCAGCGACGCGACGCCCCGTGGGTGCGACAGAGACGGCTCGGCCCTTCGGAACACGGCGGGTGGTGACCTTGATGCGGTGCGAAGCAGCGAAGCAGCGACAGTGAAGGAAAGACCCCGCGACACCTGTCCCGGTACTCTGCCGCCGCCCGGAGGCCGTCAAAGGGTCGCCGAGTTTCAGGCCGGGCACAACCGCCCGGTGGGCCAGAAGACCGGTGGAGGCGCGGCAAAAATCCTAGACGCGTTTTGAGCTCCAGAGTCGCTAAATGGGACTCGAACCGAACGTGTGACCCCACCAATGGATTCCTCGTTCGGAGAGCAATCCATTGGTGGGGTCACACGTTCGTTTCGAGTCCCATTTAGTGACTCTGGAGCTCAAAACGCGTCTAGAATTTTGGCCGCCTCCAACGGTCTTGTATGGCCCACTGTGCGCGGGGAACACCTGTTCCGTAGACTGCCGCAACAAGGGGCCGAGCAGGCTGATTTGCCAGCATGTTTTTCCAGTGGCGTGGGAACGGGTCCCACGGCCGCACTTCGGACTGCGGAGGATTCCGAGAATGCCCCCTCCGCGCCCCCTTTGCGCCAAGACGTGCGTGTGGTGCGTTTACTACTGGCTCCAAGCAAACGGTCCGTGGCGCTAGGCTTTGTGTGTGTATAAATAGGCCAATTCTCTTCCCCCTCCCTTTCCAAATCGGCTACGCATCCTGCTTGCCCCCTCCCCCGACTGCCAGGACTGCTACAGTTGCCCCCCGGGGGCCCCCAGGGCCGCTCGGAGCTCAGGCCGTGGCCCAGGCCGTTGTAACGCGCAGTGCACCCCTCGGGGGCTGCAGCTAAATAAACGATGGGCGTGGCGGCCTGCCTAGAGGCCTGCCCGGCCGCACCGCCCAGACACCGCCAAGGCGTCGGAACGCTTCCAACGAGTAGTAGCCAAGTCACAGTGGATTTGCCAGAAGACCGGTGGAGGCGGCCAAAACCCTGGACGCGTTTTGAGCTTCAGTGTCCAGGACTCGAACCGAACGTGTGACCCCACCAATGGATTGCTCTCCGAACGAGGAATCCATTGGTGGGGTCACACGTTCGGTTCGAGTCCCATTTAGCGTCTCTGGAGCTGAAAAGCCGTCTGGCGTTTTGGCCACCTGCGCCGGCCTTCTGGCCCACTGTACGACTCCCACTGCCGAAAACAGCCTGAAAATTAAATAATTTACCAGTGGATCCGCCCCTCCTTTCCCCTTCTCATTATTCCTGCGCCGAGCCTCTGGAGCCTCGGATTGATTTTCTCATCAAGCGGCTGAGCCGCTGAGGCACGCTCACATCGACGTTATGCGAAGACAGCGGCAGGGCTCTAGCCTCGGCTCTAGCCGGGGCGCGATGCCTGCGCACAGTGGGCCAGAAGACCGGTGGAGGCGCCATAAACTCCAGACGCGTTTTGAGCTCCAGAGTCGCTAAACAGGACTCGAACGGAACGCGATGACCCCACCAATGGACTCCTCGTTCGGAGAGCAATCCATTGGTGGGGTCACACGTTCGGTTCGAGTCCCATTTAGCGACTCTAGAACTAGAAACGCGTATAGAATTTTGGCCGCCTCCGCCGGTCTTCTGGCCCACTGTGCTGCGATGGCTTCGACCTCTGGCACGCCAACGGCACCACTTTGTCCGATAATGCCTCTGGCGATTGATTGCATGCCCTCTGTCTCTCTCGCACGGCCGCGAGTGAGACAGGGCGATGAGCACGGCAGGGCGCGCGCCGCCTCTTGAGTCTGGAAAAAGTGCCACAGTCGTCTGATTTGCGCTGATGGCTCGGTCGAGGGTCGGGGCGGGGCAGGGCAGGGCCGATCGAACGGAACGAGCTCGTTCAGATATTACGTAACGCCTCACGTCTCTCTCGCTCTCGCTGGCAGTCCATGAGGAGCAACAAGGACAGAGCTATGGGAAAATGTCACTTAGTAAGAGGACGACCCTTCAGCGACACGGACCTTTGCCCAGCTTTCTCAAAACCGTACCAATTATCTTACCCCTTTCAATGAAACGTGGTACGTTGGAAGAAAGTACTGTTTTTTTTAATGACCTGCGCTTACAAAGAAGATACTTACAAACTTAGTTGCTATCTTACATATACAGGACACGTTACCCTACCTGCCTGACATTCACTGACACCCTCTCACTGACACTAGACATTTGCTCACAGACACTCACTCACTGACACTCTCACTGACACTCTCACTGACAGTCGCTCACTGCCACACTGACATTCTTGCATTGAAAATCTCTCACTGACAATCCCTCTCTGACTCCTTCCTTCCCCCCTCCCTTTTTAGCATAACCTAGCAGTGTGGGCATCGGGCCATCAGTCAGGCCATGGCTTGGGGTTGGCCATCTATTAGTCAGTAACTCCGTGCACGTTGGTCGCATGCCTGCGGAGAACGACCCCCCCCCCCTTTTCCTTTTACACCCCTCCCCTCCCTCTCGTGTCACCGTGCATGAATAAGGGATAGATGGTGGGGGTGTGGAGGGGGAGGGATGGTGGAGCGCGACTCCCCAGTGCGGCGAAGGCTAGTGACTCGTTCCACTCTTCATCCCGCTGTTCATTAACTGCGTTCATTCAATCCAATCGCCGCACAGTGGGCCAGAAGACCGGCGCAGGCGGCCAAACCTCTAGACGCGTTTTGAGCTCCAGAGTCGCTAAGCAGGACTCGAACCGAACGTGTGACCCCACCAATGGATTCCTCATTCGGAGAGCAATCCATTGGTGGGGTCACACGTTCGGTTTGGCCGCCTTCACCGGTCTGCTGGCCCACTGTGTGTGTCGAAGGAGGGAGGGGACGGGTTTTCCTCGACCTTCCCGAACGTCCTTCCCCCTCCACTGCCGAAGCTGCGCGAAGCTGCGCCCAACTTTATCATGGATCGTGGCATCGGAGAGCTGCTTGATCGCCGTGCCACCAACACACACACTGAGGAAAAAGGGGGAAGGGGGAGGGTTTTCCCGTTGCTTTTTATTTTCCGTTTCGTCCGCAAGCTGCTGCCTGCTGCTTGCGCCCCTGTGTCCGCCTGTCTCTCTCGCACCCCTGCGGGACGCACCACGCGTTGGGAGCGAGAGAGAGAGAGAGAGAGAGAGAGAAGAAGGAGAGAGGGCGCAGAGGTTTGTCTCTCCCATTGTTTTGCCTCGCCCTGCCGGCCCTGCCTCGGCGCGTAGATCACTCATTTATCTTTTTGTTTTCCCCCCGACCGCAGCTACACCCGGCAGCAGGCTCATTTCGTCGCTTTGTCTCTCTCGCTCTCGCGTTACGATTTTTCGTCAGAATTCTAAGCAGGTTACGAATAGTCGGAACTTGCAAGTGTAGGTTCGTTCCCTGGTGCGCGCGGGAGTTGAGTGTCGCCGGAGGACCGTTGGCAAGCCCTTGGCAACCCCCGGCGCGCCGCGCACTGCCGCGCACCGCGTACTGGATGAAAGAAATAAGAAATGCACGCTGACGCGGCGAGGTCGAACGAGCCGTGACCCGTTTTCCTCGAGTCTTGGCGACGAACGCTGCGCTTTTGAGCCCCATAGTCGCTAAATGGGACTCGAACCGAACGTGTGACCCCACCAATGGACTGCTCTCCGAACGAGGAATCCATTGGTGGGGTCACACGTTCGGTTCGAGTCCTGTTTAGCGACTCTGGAGCTCAAAACGCGTCCGGGGTTTTGGCCGCCCCCACCGGTCTTCTGGCCCACTGTGCTGCGTACCACGAGGGCCGTAGTGCGCCCCTCGCCATTACCCCCTCCACGGCCTGCACGGAGTCGCGGCCCGCACGCCTGGCGCACGCAGGTGGAGGCAGCCGCACAGTGGGCCAGAAGACCGGTGGAGGCGGCCAAAACTCCAGACGCGTTTTGAGCTCCAGAGTCGCTAAATGGGACTCGAACCGAACGTGTGACCCCACCAATGGACTGCTCTCCGAACGAGCAATCCATTGGTGGGGTCACACGTTCGGTTCGAGTCCTGTTCAGCGACTCTGGAGCTCAAAACGCGTCTAGAGTGTTGTCCGCCTCCACCGTTCTTCTGGCCCACTGTGGAGCGCCCGCCAGGCAGGCAACCACGCCGCACGCATGCACGCGTGTTGGGCGCGCTGCCTACCCCGAGGTTCGCAGGGGCCCGAAGCTCGAGCTGCCGACAAGGCCTGCCGTGCCGACCGTGCTCCGGCGTGGGCTTGGAGTTGCTCCCCTCCCCTCCCCTCCTCCCTTCCCCTCCCCGCCCCCTTCCGGACTGAAATGCCGCCACCAGCGCCCTGCCGTCTAAACGGCGATGCCCGAACGACCGGCGACGTAGCTGCGCTGCGGGCCCGAGCGAGGGCGCACTCTAAATGTTGTACAGTGAAGATTCTCCATATTATGGTGAAAATGTTCTTTATTATGGTGGTGCAGCTGACTTCGTAACATACCATTGAGAATTCACTGTACCTTACAGAGATTTTGACGAATTTCGTTGGTATTATGGAGAAAATCTCCACCATATTATGTTGGTGCAGCCTTTCACCGTAAGACATTTACTGTGCGGGGCTGGTGGTGCGGCAGGGTGACTAGGAAGCCTTTTCGAACCCCGCTGAGACAATCGAAAGACCTAGCTGGTTGTTGATTTCGGGGCAAATGGAGGGGAAGGGATGAAGACTTTACAATTTTGTACGTGCCTGCTTCTAGGCGTTCCAAGCCAAACTCGTAAAGTCGGTTGTTGAATTTCCAAATGGTCGCCCTTTGCAAGGTGCTTAACGCTCACCTCGGGCGTGCCACAGTGGGCCAGAGACCGGTGGAGGCGGCCGAAACTCCAGACGCGCTTTGAGCTCCAGAGTCGCTAAGCAGGACTCGAACCGAACGAGTGACCCCACCAATGGTTTCCTCGTTCGGAGAGCAAGCCATTGGTGGGGTCACAAGTTCGGGTCGAGTCCCATTTAGCGACTCTGAAGCTCAAAACGCGTCTGGAGTTTTGGCCGCCTCCACCGGTCTTCTGGCCCACTGTGCGTGTGCGCGATCGGCCGGCTGGTGCAAGGCTGGCCAGTCCGTGCCGGCGGTGCCAGCCGTGTTGGCAGAGCACACTGCGTTTTCTCCCTTTTTTCTCGGTCGGAAATTGCGGTCAAGTTTGGTAAACAGGAAGGGGGCCGTGGCGGGCCGTGGCACAATGGGCCAGAAGATCGGCGCGAGCGGCCAAAACTCTAGACGCGTTGAGCTCCAGAGTCGCTAAACAGGCCTCGAACCGAACGTGTGACTCCACGAATGGATTCCTTGTTTGGAGAGCAATCCATTGGTGGGGTCACACGTTCGGTTCGAGTCCCATTTAGCGACTCTGCAGCTCTAAACGCGTCTAGAGTTTTGTCCGCCTCCACCGGTCTCTGGCCGACTGTGCGTGGTCGGCGGGTCAACAATGTGCCTCGGTGCTCCGCGCCTCGGCCGGCCTCGCCTCGCGAGCGCCTCGCCCACGGCCTCGTCGGCCGTCCTCGGTAGACCTCGTTTGCTTTCCAGGACTGTCTAGCCGACCGATGCCGAGAGTCGTTTTCGCACCTAAACAGGACTCGAACCGAACGTGTGACCCCACCAATGGATTCCTCGTTCGGAGAGCAATCCATTGGTGGGGTCACACGTTCGGTTCGAGTCCCATTTAGCGACTCTGGACCTCAAAACGCGTCCGGGGTTTTGGCCGCCCCCACCGGTCTTCTGGCCCACTGCGCTCACTGTCCTCTTCCTTGTGTCCTCCAGCAGCGGACTGCCGCTCTTCTCGTCGGCCTCGGAGCTGGACGCGGCCGGCCGCACCTCGGCCTCCCCGCTGGGCCGGCGCGAGTCCGAGGCCTCCTCGGCGTCCCAGGCGCACGGCCTCGGCCACGGCGCGGGGGCGGTCGGCCTCGGCGCCGCGGGTCCCGGACGCGGCAGCATCGCCGGCGAACAGCGGCGGCATGGAGTACCACCCCTCCTGTCGGACGGCTCGCTCGACTACGACGGTGAGTCAGTGGGCGTGCAGCTGGAACGGAACCACCCGGTCATTTTAACTTTAAAAATTGTCAAAAGTTGCCAGCCAAAACTATATATAACAAAAAAAAAACAAAAAAAAATTTTCTTTTCTTAATTTTTCTGCCGTTTTTAAAGTGTTTTTCATTTCTGTTGATAATATTTTTTTTTTATTGAACTTGATTACTATCATTACGTTAAAGCATCCTTTATTTGTTGCAGCGCTCTATGAAGACGAGGATGAAAGCGACTGTGAGTTTTATTTCATGCGAAACTGGACCCGCTCTCTTTCAGTCAGCCTACTACGGTGCTGATGGAAACTTGCTCTTTGTTGCAGTGGGTCCCATGGAAGCTCACGGGTCTGTTGTGACTCACCTGCTGTCACAAGTGAAGATTGGAATGGATTTGACCAGAGTTGTGCTGCCGACGTTTATTCTAGAAAGACGATCCCTTCTTGAGATGTACTCAGATTACTTTGCACATCCAGATTATTTCTTGAAGTATGTATTTGAAACTTTTTGCTGTTATTGTTTATAGTTTGGACCATTTTGTTATCAGTCTAATTTTTGTTTCTTAATAGAATTGCAGATTTTAAAGACCCTCGTGACCGAATGGTTCAAGTTGTCCGGTGGTACATGTCTGCTTACCATGCAGGCAGGAAAAGCTCAGTAGCCAAAAAACCCTACAACCCCATCTTGGGTGAAATATTTTACTGTCACTGGAATGTACCTGATATCTCGACAGGAAATGAGCCCCTTGTAACGGATGGGCCTGTCCCCTGGTGTGATCGGAACCAGCTCACATTCATAGCAGAACAAGTTTCCCACCACCCTCCCAGTAAGGAATCCTCCTTGTTTGTGGTACTAGTATTCCCTGTATCCTCTACTGATTCTGATTCTTACCTCAACAGTTTCTGCCTTTTATGCTGAGCATTATAACAAGAGAATAAGTTTTTGTGCACATGTTTGGACAAAGTCAAAATTCCTTGGTCTCTCTGTTGGTGTGCATAATATTGGTCAAGGCTGTGTGTCTGTTCTTGAATATGATGAAGAATACATTGTTACATTCCCAAATGGTTATGGCAGGTAAGAATTGTCAATTTGTCTACAATAGACATGCTTCCACATGTAAATTGTACCCACTCATGTTTCTAATTTCACTTTTCTTTTTTTTTTGCTCAGGTCTATTCTAACAGTGCCATGGATTGAACTTGGTGGGCCGGTGACAATTGCTTGTGCCAAGACTGGTTTCAATGCTACCATTGAGTTTCACACCAAACCATTTTATGGTGGTAAAAAGCACAGGATATCTGGCGAAGTTTTCCAACCCGGAGAAAAGAAACCATTCCTGAGCATCAGTGGAGAATGGAACGGCAGCATGCATTCAAAGTGGGCGGATGGGGTGTGTATCTTCATTTTTTTGCATAGTTGGATGAGACATTTTTCACTTTCCAGGATAGTACCCTTGATGAATAAGCTTCTAAATAACTTGTTTCCTTCCAGAGAACGGAACTATTTTTGGATGTGAATGAAATTCCCATAATCAAAAAAGAAGTGAGACCTATTTCTGATCAGGACGAAATGGAATCCCGAAGGCTCTGGAAAGAAGTTACCGCTGGGTTGAGGTAGGTCATGTTTTAAATTAAGAGCCAAGCACTTTCTTTTCACACATTCCATATTGACAACCCCTTCTTTTCCTGATGCAGGTTAAATGACATTGACAAGGCCACCAATGCGAAGACAGAGCTGGAACAGCGACAGAGAGAGGAAGCAAAGGATCGGAAAGAAAGGAACTTGCGGTGGGAAACCAAGGTGGGTACTTGAAACCTCAAGCCTTCTTCAGCCGAAAAACAAATTCAGGCATACGGGACTCGAAGCGAACGTGTGACCCCACCAAAGGATTCCTAGTTCGGAGAGCAATCCATCGGTGGGGTCACACGTTAGGTTTGAGTTCCATTTAGCGACTCAGGAGTTGAAAACGCGTCCAGAGTTTTGGCCGCCTGCACCAGTCTTCTGGCAAATGCACTGCGTGACGCCTTGCCTCTTGCTCTGCCCGCAGTGCTTCCGCGAGACGGGGGACAACTGGGTGTACGTGGCTCCGCTCATCGCCCGCCTGTCGCGGAACGGCACCACCGGCACGACGGACCCCCACGCCGCCTCGGAGCAGCGGTAGTGACACGCCCCCCTGCCACCCCAGTGGCGCCCAGGGCCTCCGCCACACCGGTGGCCTCCCCGGCGTTGTCCCGGCGAGCAGCGCGAGCAGCGGCACCCAATCGCCGCCACCCATCACCTTCTCCCTCACCGAGCCCGTCGCCGAGCCGGTCGCCGAGCCGGTCACCGAGGCCGCGGCGTCGCTCGACGACCTCCTCTCGACGGACCGGCCGTGCCGCGTCTCCCCGCGGCCCTCCGTGTCGTCCACCGTGACCAGGAAGGCGTCGTCGTCCTCGGACAGGCCGTGCGTCGTGTCGCTGACCGCCACGCCGGAGCGCCGCGCCGTGCACTCGTCGCTCATCCTGGACCCCACCGCGCTCGCCGACCTGTCCTTCACCTGCTGCAACAACTCGTCCTGCTGCCCCCAGACTGCCCCCAGGCTGTGGATGCGCGGCGACCTGGCGCCGTCGCCGTCGCTGCCGTCGTGCACCGTCCACGGCCTCGGACACCCGGCGCCGCTCTCGCCGTCGCGGTCCTTCCCCTGGGTGCCGTCCGCGCCGTCCTCCACCTGCCCGGACTCGGCCTCGGACATGTGGCGCCGCGGCCTCGGCCGCTGGGGCTTCCTGTCGCGACCCTCGCGCCCCCTCTCCCCCTCGCCGGCCTCGTCCTACGGGCTGCGGCTCAGCGACTCGGCCCTGTCGTCGGCCTCCTCGCCGTCCTCGCCGGCCGCGCGCTGCTGCCACCACACCGTGCACCACGTGCAGCGCCGCGTCAGCCCCTGCTGCCGGTCGTGCCGCCGCACGTGCTGCGTGGTCATGTGATAGATCCCCCTCCCCCTCCCCTCCCCCCTCTTCCCCTCTCAGAATGGAATGCAAGTTGTGCTGTGAACACGGTATTGTCGTAGGACTAGGATCGACTTGATGGACACCCAGCCGTGACCCTGTTCCCTGTTATGTAGAGCGTAGTTTTTTTTTTTTTTTTTTTTTAAGTATAGGCCGGACCCTAGGGTCTGGTGTTGTTAAAGTTGCTTGTGGTGCTACAGGCTGTTGGTGAAAGAACCAAGTAAAGCCATTTAGCTGTCTGTATTGACTGTTGTGTAGTGTTTTCAAGTTTTTAATCTTTTTGCAATCATGTCCACTGCATCATTTTTATCATTTTTCCCTGGTGAGAAATTTCTGATGTAGAGTAGTATTTTTTTTGGCTATTTGAATGATGCAGGACTCTCATTTCTTGAAATCTCTTTTCTAATAATGTGTTCTTTTGATAGGAAAAACATGCTCTTTTCACCATGTAGTATTATGCCAACAGTGGAGAAGCCACAATGCTGATATCTTAGACTGATACCATTGTTTGTGCTCATTCCTATGGCACACAACATTAAAAGAGTGACCGTTTTTCTCTAAAGTTGCTTTTGTGTTTTATTATCCTTGTTTTGAGCTCAATCCAAACTGTTACTGTTTTTTGATCTTCTTTCTTTACAGTAATCATCGGCTTTTCTACTCATTTGGTTCACAGGCAGGTATTCACTCAATTGGTGGCATCTGTAATTTTTATAATATTTTTATCAAGCATTTGTAGCTAGCAGATTATGGCAACTTGCAGGGAATGTATTTCATTTTTAAAATGAATTGCTATAGCTACTCCACACTCAATCCCTATCATGTTCTATTCATTGGCAGAGCTCTCTGCTCATTTTTTTAATTGATGTCTTGTGCCCCTCTTCATCAACTATCTAGACTAAGTTGTCAATGTGTTGAGAAGCACAAAGGAAGTTTGAGAGTAACGCCATATTCTTATGTGTTTGTATTTTTCATCTTTGTTTCCTGCACCTGTTTTTAGAACTGATTTTCAAACTAATTTCCAAGTGCTTCAGTGGAATGTCTTTAAAATAACTCTAGTCTAGCTATTATTTTTGGACCTACCAGAAAATGAAGATGTTTGTCATGTTCCATTGTGGTTGTGGCTGTGTTTGTAATACAATTGATTTTGGGTGGTGTATATTTTGCCACCAAACAGGAATGAATTTGAACATGTAGTGTTAAAGCATGGAAAAAGTTCTGCACCATGCTTCCACAGAACATAATATCATATCTACCAGCAATGTCTTTTTAACTTATTTATTTATTTCTGTAATAAGCTTGGTTCTAGGGATATGTTCAAAGAATCCGTTACTGGTTTGGTTTACCTCTGATGTGATGTGGATTAATGTGACTGAAGTGTGATTTGTTATTATCTTTTACATTTTCTATTTAGGCATACACTATACTGTAAGTAGTCTTTATCTTCTTCCATCTGTCAATGTTTTGACTAGGTTGTGCTCACATTCCCTTTGTAATGCCAGACTTCACTCCTCTCTGTGAAGTATTCGATGCCATTCCCCACAGACCTCTTTTCGTTAAGAGGTTATTAAATTATAAATTGCATTAATATATGGAATCTGATAAGGGTCTTGAAGTTTTGAAACTTATTTACTGTGAAAAAGAAATGCTGTGTTATAAATGCAGAATCACCCATTAGAACTCAAGTGTTTGTAGGTGGTGGTATTGTGTTCAAGTGCAGATATACACTTGGTAGTAACTAAATCTGACTGCAGCCAATGTGCTCTTATAAATGAACTCGATTTCCTTCCTTTATAATATTATCTGTGCCTACCCGAGACGCAATTGCCTTCAAGCTCAAATTACAACACTAGAAACAGCACGTTGATATTGATGAGCACAAATCAGTCAAAATGGCCCTCATTTTCTAATCCTGTACAGCGCTTATTTGTGGCAGTTTATTTTTGTGATTGTTTTGAAACCGTCAATTTCAAAGCAGACAGGCTTTTTGATTTGGTTCAACTGTGTAGACTGTCAGATAATATTAATCTTCCTGGCACCTATCACAGTATGCAAAACATGATTGGAAAAGTTGGTACAAGGAAGAACTATTTTGAAATCTTCCTCCTAAAAATTTAACACTTTGTATTAACTAACTAAAAGTTGTGATACAGCTTTTAAAAATCCACAAAACTATCAACATAAAACATTATATTTCAAATTATGACATTTCCATTTTGGAAATATTGTTGCTAGGTCTTTAACAATACCTGTGCATCTTAAACAAACCTTATTAACTTTCAAAGATTAAAATTGTACATATACCAAAGGAGAGTAGAAAGAACAAGTTGGTGCATCAATTAATGAAAAGGAATTTAAATTGAATGGCAAATATCAAATCAGTATATTTTTAATTTTATCAACTTCTGGAAAGTACAATCCATTTATAGATAACATTGTTGTACAGCAGTTCTGACTGACATGAATGTGCTCCTGTAACTGTATTAAATATTCATTTTAAACTAGAAATAAAGAGTTTGGATTCACAATAAATATTGATTAGATGCACATCCGTCTAATTGTCATTGCCTTGGACAATCTCTCCTTCTCCATCACATATCGATCTCATTGACCAAACTACGTAACAGCCACGCGCCACATTCAATTGCTGCATGAGAAAAACACAGTAGCACGAAGCCATCTCAGCATTGACAAGTGCAGAAATACTTAAGAAAATAAAAACTGTGCAGATCTTAAGCTACAGGGGACATAGAACACAATATGAACTTAAATTTGAGGCAGTCAATCTCCTTCCAAACTAAGACAAAATGCAGAATTAAAAAATAGCCAGCCAAAATGTTTCTCCGTCTAAAAAAAATGTCATCAGACTTTACAACATTCAAGACATTCAAGTTTTAGTCTTGTTTTGTATTGGAAGGAATAATTTGAATTCTGCAGGCAGTTCATCTTCAGAATATAACCTATCAGAAAAGTAAACCCTACGAATTCTGCAATTGGCATGGATCTGCACCCTCAAAGTTTCGGCATAAGTGGTACCATAAGCCCGTCTCGTGAAGTCGCTTAGATTGAATTGGATTTGATTCCAGCCATCATCAAGCCTCATGGGCATGGTACAGATGAATGGCTTCACACGGGTAGTGGATTGGTAATTGCTGGCACGAAACCTTCTTCGGACGTTCTTGTCATCCAACACCTGGAAACAAAAGTTGTGTCAAAACATTTTAATGCGATGACATGACGAAAACAACAAGATGACACTCTACTGTTTTTGTTTAAAGTACCTGAATTTCGAAGGTGAAGTATTTTTTTAGGTTTTTTATTATCATAACAAGGAATGATAATTTGATTCCAAGAGTTTTCTTCGGATCAGCTGGGCATGTAATATAGGTGGTGCTGACATTTGTGCCAACAACTTCCAAAACCAAAGATTGAATGTCGCCATCTGTTATCCTCTTAATGTGACCATTTCGGACTTTCTTGTCCCAAATTTGAAGAGGTTTACTACCAATGCTATAAAGAATGGATAGGAATCCACTCTGGAATGTGTTCTTAAACATTATGAGCACTTAACCTAACAATATCGACTTTGCACTTGAAAACTGCCGTCGATGTCAATCGAAAGCTTAAAATACAAGTCTCTGGGGATGAATGACCAACCCAGAAGACACGTTGTCTAAATTAAGAGGGACATATCTCAATACAATGGCTTAAAAGTAAAATAAGAGGTAATCCCAAACACAAGCGGCAGCCGCTGTACACTATTTTGTTTGGACTTAAGGGGGGAGGTGGGGAAAGGAGAGGGGCAGGGAAGGCAACAATTCGTATTGACTATGAGAGACTAGTCGATCTGAACTGACAGTTCAGGGTACCATCTGTTGAAACATCAGCTGTAAAATAGGACAGGAAGTTTTTCATCTGTGTTCCGAACTTCCCTTTGCCCAATCTCGCATCGCGACTCGGTAACTCGAATGTGTGTCCAAAGTTGCTAGATGCTCATTGAGATTGCACACTGCCCAACTTGAAACTTTTATTCACTTGTAAAGACTTTGTCATTATTTTCGTCCTATTATAATGAGTTCTAGTGATCATCACATAAAAGTGGACGACGATGGAGATATATCCGATGATGAGAAAAAGAAACTGTGAGTATAAATTCATCACAGATTAATTTTGCACTACATTTAGGTTATGTTAACTCTTTAAAGTTTTCTGAGGGAAAAAAGGGTTTTCAATATTTTGGATGACTTAACCCACAAGTTTATTATTTTTATTATGTTGACACAAGTTATATATTAGTCCAGTCTCCAGTAATTGTCAAGCAACATTTTAACTTTCATGATAAATTTAAAGCCTGAGTCTCAATGAGAGATAACACTCCTATTCCTTCATAAGTAATTTTTTTTACAAAGGTATTTAAAGCCTAAGCTGTATTGTGCAAGTAATATTTTATATATAATGTTTCTTGTCTGTTGTCTTCAATGATCTAGTGTATAGTTCATACAAAAATTTTTCTACTCAACTAATTTTTTTCTTGCATTAAATTTTTCAGGCTTGAAGATGGGGTATTTACAACAACTGCTACCCCTAAACTTACCTACAACTGGGTTGATATCACCAAGGAATTTACAACGCTGGCTAAAAGTAAAATATTTTCTTCCACTTAACTCTTTTTGGGTTGGATTCTCTGGGTAGATTGTTGCTTGATCGATGCGGTTTTTGTTTTGTCATTGGCAGCTCTCAACCTTGGAGAGCTTCTCCTTGATGAGCACTTTGGGTTGTATGAAGCCATGTCAGCTGTTGAGATGATGGACCCAAAAATGGATGCAGGCATGATGTGCAACCGTAGTGACAAACCAACTTTAACATTTGCAAGAGCAGTTGAGGTAAGTGTCATATTTTTACATGTAGATAAAAAAAAAAATTCAACTGACTTTTATATCTTTTCTTTGATTTGCAGTCGGGAATTTTGAAATTTGAAGGATTAGATCTCTCCGAACAGATTGGAGTAATCGATCATGTTTTATCCTGCCTAGTTTCATGGATAGAGGGAAACTCTCTAGCTCAAACAGTTTTTGCAAATCTGTACCTTCACAAGCCATTCTACATTGAAGAGCGACCTCTGAAAGCCTTTTGTATTACAGCTTACAAGATGGTGGAAATTGTCAAACACTTCATAGATCAGTATGTTGCTGTGGTGTATCAAAATATTTTATGGGTTTTGTGTTCTTGCCCGCTGTTTCTAAATTACTTTTGGCTATCTTAGGGCAACAGTTTTTGAAGAGGAAGATTATCAGCCCATGCAATATGGTTACCGCCTCATACCAGATGTTTCTGAACAACGTACAATCGGCATGTTGCGTGAAGTTGAAGAAGATTTATCTAGACGACTTAGACAACGTCCAGCGCTCCCCAACGTTAGTATCAATAACGACCCTCATTTTATCAAAGTCTAGCTCTACATCAAAAAAATAGTGTGAGGCTATAATTGTGTTGGTTGTACTTATATTCACCAGGCTGAAAGCATCGGCGCTTTGCTGTCTCGAGTAAAGTTTGTAAGGCTACTGTATTCAGTACTTGGAGTTCTTGGCCGGCAAGATTCTGAACCAGAAGTGAGGAAAGAACTAAGACCTGACAGTGAACTCCACAAAGCCCTGAATAATTGTTCTGAACAGTTAACAATTATGCGTAATACCATATCTCTTGGGATCCCTCCAGGTTTGTATTCATATAAATCATTGTTTAACTTTGTTGAAAACTCAGTGTCTCACATTTCTGTTGTTATTTTATTTTTTCAGATTCCCCTAAACTAGGTTTTGAGCCCTTGGCTAACCAGCGCCTGCTTCCTCCTACATTCCCTCGCTATGCAAAAATCAAATCTCGAGAAGAAGCCTTTGTCTATTATGATGATTTGATTCAACGACTGAAGGTTGTTTGCAAGATTTACAGTCATGCCTCTTTTCATACTGCTCTGGTAAATAAGAGGATGTTTCTTTTCTTCTGTTTTCAGCTTCTCGAAATGTGGTCCATCTAAGTGTGGTGAAATAATTGAGAATGGGTCTCCCTAAATATTTTTGCAATTCATTTTGTTGCAGGACTTCTTCATGGAGTTTAGTCGCCAGAAACCCTGTCTGTTATCTAGATCAATTCTGCAGGTTTTGTATATTCCTCAGCCATCCAGCCTCCTGACTAACACTCGTGTTGTAGAAATATTGAGAGAGGCAGCAAAGTCATTTATTTGCCCACCTGCTCTTTCATCTAAAACTTTGCTTGCATCCAATCCACAGGTAAACTACTTTTTATTTGTGTAGATACCTTTTTATCATCCATTTACCTAATTTTTTAATGTTTTATATGTTTTCTTGCAGGCAAAAGAATTTGTTGACATGTTTCTTCTACACTGCGGCCGTCCTTTTGTTCAATTGATACAACTTTGTGGTCACAATCGTGCCAGGCAGAGAGAACGGCTTGCTCACTTGTTGGAAGATTTCTCTAACCTACAGGATGAGGTAGTCATCACACAGCTCTTCCCGCATCTTTCTTTCATTGGATTTATCCTTTTAATTTGGAGATATTTACTTGTTTCCTTTTGAATTCAAGGCTGAAAAGGTTGATGCTTACCTGCATAATTTAACTTCCAAATCAGAAGGAAAAAGGTCACATCTAGCTTGCTTTGGAACATGGATTCTCTACCACACTCTGAGAATAATGATAATGTACTTATTGTCTGGATTTGAGCTTCAACTGTATTCAATTCATGAATATCATTATATCTACTGGTGAGCCAATTTAAATTTTCCTAAGGTTGTTTCTGTCTCTGCTAACATTTAAGGATTAAAATGTTGACTATGCATTTTCCTTCATTTAGGTACTTGTATGAGTTTCTTTATGGATGGCTTGTATCGTCACTGTCAAGAGCAGATAGCCTGCTTATGGAGCAGGAATCCTACTTGGAAAAAGAAAACTCAAGAGGCAAGGGTAAGAAGAATAAAGTTCGTCGCAAAAAGGGGTGCAGACCATACGCAAAGGACATAACCCTCTCTCAAGTGTACCAAAATCTTTGTGGAGGATACTACAAGGTGGTGTTTTGTTTTGTGAAATTTCAATATTTCACACTGTCTTTATTGCTATTTCGAAAGTAAAATTGTCTTCTATTTCATTTTCCAGGCTACACTTGCTTTCCAGAGAACAGGAAAAATAAGTTTTCCTAAGTCTGAATTTGACTGTGAAAAAGTGCGCTATGAACATAGATTTTTGCCATTTTCTAACCTACATACTCCACCACCAATGCAATATAGTGAATTTTCTGATATGACGAAGTCGATGGAGACTCAGATTTGTGTCGCTGACAGGGAAGCTCCAGATCACTCTAGGTTATTCATGGCTGCTTGTAAGAACTTCCATCAGGCTAGGACTTTGCTGGAAATTATGCCAAGCCCTGACCAGGAGGTAGGTAAAACTTAGCAAATCGGTTGTATGGCATTTACAAAATATAATGTTTTGTTTATTCCAATAAATTTGTTACAGGTCAACACCTTACTTTTAGTGGCCAAAACAAATTTTGTTGTTCTAAAGCTTCTTGCTGGTGGCCATAAACAAGATTCAAACACGCCCCCCATTTTTGATTTTAGTCATCATTGTCATTTCCCTATTATTAAACTTACTTAGTAATACTTCTGTATGAAAAAATGTGTCTGTTGACTTTTATTGCCACCTTTCTGAGATACCAATTAAAATCTCAGTCATTGTAATAGATTATTTAGCTAAGTTTTTTTGTTGTTTCTTTTGTTTCAAAAATTTGTTCACTTGTTCACAATTTATGTGAATGGTTCTTAATGGGTCTGAGTAAATCAGTATATGAATGTTTCTACCATGTTGTCAAAGCGTTAACAACTGCTTCTCTTTTCTGTGATGGTAATGGTACTTTGGGAGTATTTTGGGTACAGCGGTTTTCTACCTGAATGTGACATTGTAGTAACCTTTGAGCATTCGTTTGTGTATTCTACTCATGAACTGAACTAATATTGTGCTAGTCATACCATCTAGTGGCTGTCTTCATTAGACATTGTTGATCTGGTTTCTTTTAAGTGGTAAGAAATCTTTCTTGTGTAATCTCAATGTTAATTTGTTGTGAAGACTCCCAGTCATGACTGATGGAACCGTACAAAGTGACAATCTTTTTTTTGTCTTGTTTTAGGAAGTAGTGTGTATGTGTGTGTGTATGTTGATGTAAGATTGCCACATTAGTGTCTGTGTGTTTTTCATAACTGGGAATTTCAAGCTTGAATTCAAGATTTTTCTTTTGTATAGGATGATGTGACATGCCCACAGTTGATGTAGTTTATCAATTAAGTCAAAATGTTTTTATTTAGGTTTGTCACAATGTGATAGATTAGCAATCAATGTTTGACTAACATGTGCTTTAGGGAAGAAGTTTATGACAAATTATTGTGTTTCTGCATTATACTATAAATGTTTTAACTTGTAATGATCAAATTTGTTTTGCAAGTTGTTTTTTTATACCATCTTATATATCTTATTATTGCTGAGGCTTAGAAGGCTCAAGTAATTCAATGAGGAAAGGTCACTAGTAATTTCTGCAATGTCCGTTTTTGTTGCTTAGTTGTTATTTTGTATCCTGTTCTACTCATTCATTTTGTTTTACCATGACTAATTTTTCAACTGTATCGAATTTATGCCATACCCATTCATCTTCCCATTCAGTGTCATCTCTTTTACTTTCGCTTATGTTAGGTTACAAATTTACAAACCTAGAAAGTGTACCACGACCGCTACTGCTCTCCGTAAAGTCAATAAAACAGTATAAAACTTTTGAAGTAAAATAAATAAAAATCAACATTTTATCAAATATTGGTGTTCATTTCTCTGACATTCCTTTTCTTGCGACAAAAGACGCAGCCTCTGCAGAAAAAAACTTTTTATTTCGCTTTTTTTTTTTTTCAAGCGGTTTTCAGATTAAGTCGCCCTTTGCAAAGCGCTTGGAACGACCTCTGATTTAGAGTTGTTTGCCACCTGAGGTTGGACTTTCGGGTCACCCAGCGCTCCCTGCCACGCCCCTCTCCTCGCACTCCTCACCCAGCCATGTCGCCTCCTTATCGGCGCTGGGCGCTGCTGGTGGGGCGGGGCAGGGCCACCCTCGGGACCGGTTCCGACAGTGGACGAGACGAGACGCCGCCTTCCTCTGCCGGTGCAGTCTGTTACAGTGTGTCTGTGAGGCGCTGTCCACGGATTAACGAACGCAGCCTCCGCCCCCTCACCTCGCCACCATGGTGAGTCCAGGCCGCAAGCCAGGCCAGTTCGACTGGCAGCATGGGCCCCACAATGGTCGAGAGGACCGGCGCAGGCGACCACTCTAGACGCGTTTTGAGCTCCAGAGTCGCTAAACTGGACTCGAACCGAACGTGTGACCCCACCAATGGATTCCTCTCCGAACGAGGAATCCATTGGTGGGGTCACACGTTCAGTTCGAGTTCCATTTAGCGACTCTGGAGATCAAAACGCGTCTAGAGATTTGCGGGTAGTGTTGGGACTTCCCTCCGAGCAGGGCGGTCGGTCACCCGTTTACGCACACCGTGCCGCCGAGCCCGGCCCGGACTGATTCCGAGAGTCGTTTTTGTCGCTGTGCCTCTGCAGTCCTGGAGCGTAGCGTGTAGGTGCGAAAGGGACTGCGCGACGAAAACGACTCTCGGAATCAGTCTGCAGACCTGCTCATCCCTCATGCCAATTTTCTCGCGGAGGAGTACTTTTCGCACGGGGCTCCGCAGGCTGCGGCTACGGTTGCCCATGCCTCGCTCCTTGGCTACAACTCGAAGCGACGGCGCAAAAATAAAGCACACGTCAAGCCTGAAGGCCTGAAGGTCGCTACCGCCCACGCTCTGTCAAACGAGGGTCGTTTCGAAGCTCTGTCTCTCTCGCGCGTAACGGGACACCCGATGAGCACGACAGAGACAGAGCGACGAAAACGACTCTCGGAGTCAGTCTGTTGCTTTCCGTCTAGATAAGGGCCAGAAGAAGAAAGAAGAAAGCGCCGGGCGGAGTGGAGTGATGCAACTCTCGTGACCTGGCGCCCACTCTCTCCCACTATCGCCCACTTTCACCCACTGCCGCTCTCTGTCGCCCACTTTCACCCGCTGTCACCCACTGCCGGCCGGAGTGGAGTGATGCAACTTTCGTGACCTGGCGCCCACTCTCTCCCACTATCGCCCACTTTCACCCACTGCCGCTCTCTGTCGCCCACTTTCACCCGCTGTCACCCACTGCCGGCCGGAGTGGAGTGATGCAACTTTCGTGACCTGGCGCCCACTGTCTCCCACTATCGCCCACTTTCACCCACTGTCGCCCACTTTCACCCACTGCCGCCAACTATCGCCCACTTTCACCGGCTGTAGCTCAGTGTCGCCCAATGCCACCCAATATGACGGTGTAAGCGCCGCAGCTGGGTGGCAACCGGTGGCAACCCACCTGGCAGCCGCCTAGTGCGGGTTGCCGCTGCCTCCCGGCGCCGACGCACAGTGGGCCAGAAGACCGGTGGAGGCGGTCAAAATCCCGGACGCGTTTTGAGCTCCAGAGTCGCTAAATGGGACTCGAACCGAACGCTTGACCAGACTCTCCAAAATACGATTCATAACATGTGTTGATTCGTGCTTGCAGAAACTTCAGTTTTCCGGCCTCATGGCCCCGGTCTTCACGGCCTTCACTGAAAATGGGTAAGTCGAAGGGATACATTGGTACAACCTCTCTAGATGTCGGACCATGTTTTTGTTGTCCCTACAAACACTCTTTTCCACTTGCAGAGAAGTCAACTTGAAAATAATCGCGGACTACGCCAAATTTTTATCCGCGAACGGCATCAACGGCGTCCTGGGTAAGCGAGCGGCGGTTGCCGAGTCCCTACACAGTGGGCCAGAAGACCGGTGGCCGCGGTCAAATTCCCGGGCACGTTTTGAGCTCCAGAGTCGCTAAATGGGACTCAAACCGAGCGTGTGACCCCACCAATGGATTGCTCCCCGAACGAGGAGTCCATTGGTGGGGTCACACGCTCGGTTAAGCCACTCCGGAGCTCAAAACGCGTCTAGGGTTTTGGCCGCCTCCACCGGTCTTCTGGCCCACTGCACCTTGGCTTTGGAGCGGCTTGTCTAGACGCGGTTGTTTTGCAGTGAACGGCACGTCCGGCGAAGGCATGTCCATGACGGTCGCCGAGAGGGAGCAGACGACGGAGGCGTGGCTGCAGCACGGCCACAAGCACGGCATCCACGTCCAGGTGCAGGTCGGCGGCACCAACCTCCCCGACGTCCTCCACTTGGTGGGTCACCAGGGTCACCGCGAACCGACTTCATTTCCTGCCTAATTTCTCAAATACGAGAGAATTTAACTTTTCGACGATGCCAACAGGCCCGTCACGCAGAGCGGCTCGGCGCGGACTCGATCCTCTGCCTCCCCGAGCTCTTCAACAAGCCCGCCAACGTGCACGAGCTCGTCGAGTACCTGAGGCTGGTGGCGGCCGCCGCGCCCCGCACCCCCCTGCTCTACTACCACAACCCTGGCTACACCGGCGTCAACGGTGAGGATAGCGTTCGGACCCTGCACAGATGACCGGCGCCGGCGTCTAAAACTCTAGACGCGTTTTGAGCTCCAGAGTCGCTAAATGGGTCTCGAACCGACCTCGTTCGGAGAGCAATCCATTGGTGGGGTCACACGTTCGGTTCGAGACCCATTTAGCGACTCTGCACTGCAGGAAATAACCACAACAAAAGTACACAAATTTCTGGCAAATTTTTTATCAGGTTTTTATTGTACTTTCAAAGTACAACAATTGTTGTACAAAGTACAATGGAACCGGCATGACGAGTGCTGGGCAGTCCCGGCCTCGTTGTGGTTTGTACAATTCCCGTTGTACTTTCTACAATCCCTGTTGTGCTTTTATTGTACAGTTTTTGTTGTACATTTGTTGTACTATTCACACTTTTTCTTGCAGTGTGGAGCTCAAAACGCGTCTAGAGTTTTGGCCGCCTCCACCGGTCTCCACCGGCCCACTGAGCTGTTTTCGCGGGACACGTCCCATTGTTGTTGATTTTCCAGTGAACGTCCCCACCTTCATGGAGGCGGCTGGCAGCGCGCTGCCCATGTTCGCGGGCATCAAGTTCACGGACACCAACCTGGAGATGGGCGTGCATTGCGTGGCGGCGGGCGGCGCCGCGTACAGCGTCTTCCTGGGCTGCGACTACGTGCTGGCGGGCGCTTTCGCGCTCGGCTTCAACTCGGCCATCGCCACTTCACTCAACGTGCTGCCGGGCCTGTGCGCGCGCATCCTGCAGGACGTCAAGACTGGCCGTGTGGAGGAGGCCCGCCTCGCGCAGAACACGCTCAACCGGGCGGCGCAGGCCATCACGCTCAACGGTGAGCAGCGCAGTCTGTCTCTCTCGCACTCATTGGCGGCCCCCGCACAGTGGGCCGGAAAACCGAAGGTGGTCAAAACTGCGGTCGAGAGGCTCGAACCGATCGTGTGACCCCACCAATGGATTGCTCTCCGAACGACGGATCCATAGGTGGGGTCACACGCTCGGTTCGACAACTCTTTAGCGACTCTGGAGCTCAAAACGCGTCCAGAGTTTTGGCCGCCTCCACCGGTCTTCTGGCCCACTGTGCCCCGTGTCGGTGCGACAAAGTCAGAGCGACATAAATGACTCTCGGAATCCGTGTGCTGCGGACAGGCTGCACGGTTCGAAACCGGTATTGCGTCGCCCTTTAATTGAACGTTACTTTGTCGCTGCAGGAAAATGGGTCCCCGCCATGAAGGCTGCCATGAAGATCGTCACGGGCCTGGACATGGGTCCTGCCCGCCAACCCCTGCCCTCGCTAGAGGATCGCCACCTCCCCGCCCTCAAGAAGTCCCTGCAGCAGCTCAACCTTCTGTCATGAGTGCATCGTTATGATTCATTTCAATATATTTACAATAAAATAAACCCTATATTTTGTCTCTGAAAGCAGCTTTGTGTTCGCGCCATTCTGATAGCACCTCGAGAACGGGGGCGCTTCCGATATCGGGCGCCTCTTTCGGCGCGATTATTACTGATTATGACTGATTATGATTAAAGAGGACTCAGCTCACTGGTCCGGCCGGACTACTCTTCGCAGTGTACAGTACACCAAAGGTTGGCTTACATTATTGCCCAAACTTGGAACAGTTTGGTCACTAAATTTAGAGTCGCTAAATGCGACTCGAACCGAACGTGTGACCCCACCAATGGATTGCTCTCTGAACGAGGAATCCATTGGTGGGGTCACACGTTCGGTTCGAGTCCTGTTTAGCGACTCTGGAGCTCAAAACGCGTCTAGAGTTTCGGCCGCCGGCGCCGGTCGACTGGCCCACTGTGCGCCGCCGACATTCTCCTCGCGGGCAGCACGGCTCTGGGTTTGCGTTCCGATAGAGTAGCAGAGCAAGCAAAGCGTGCCATCTCTGACAGCCTGCCAGTCTCCGCCGGCCGGCCGGCCGCAGAGAGAGACAGATGCAGGCGTAGTGCACGCGGTGGGGGAGGGAGGCCCGTCAGGCCCCTCGCGTCGCCGCCCGCCCGCCTGCCCCACTACGACGACTGGCGTGGCGCGGCCCGCGGCGCTGCCGTCGCGTTGACAGGACACGGTGTGCTGGGCCGGCTCGCCGTTTGGCGTTTTGACTCGCAGTCGCTCGCAGTGATGGCGGTGCGGCCGCAGTGAACGCCGCGAGGCACGCGCGGAACGCCCTGCGGAACTGGAACGCCCCGTGGAACGCCCCGTGGAACGCCCCGTGGAACGCCCCGTGGAACGCCCCGTGGAACGCCTCGCGTGGAACGCCCCGTGGAACGCCCCGCGGAACGACTCGCGGAACGCCCCGCGGAACGCCCCGCGGAACGCCCCGTGGAACGCCCCGTGGAACGCCCCGTGGAACGCCCCGTGGAACGCCCCGCGTGGAACGCCCCGTGGAACGCCCCGTGGAACGCCTCTTGGAACGCCTCTTGGAACGTACTTCGGCACGTGGAACACCAGGCGAAACGCAGGCGGGACGCCGCCAGGACGCACCAGGACGCCGTCGACACTCGGTCAGCGCGGCCCCGCCGATGCCCCGCCGATGCTTCGCCGGCCGTGCGCCCCGTCTCGGGCGTCTCGGCCTTATCAGGTGCTGACTGATTCCGAGTGGCAGCTCTCTCTCGCACTCATGGGGCGCTCCGTGCCGATGCGAGAGAGATAGACCGACGGCCGCTCTGTGCGGAATCAGTCTACAGTGTATCGACAACACTGTCGCCGGCCCGCCTCTGGGACCTCTCGGACCTCTCGGACCTCTCGGAGCAGCCCCAGTGCACGACATGCAGGCCATGCAGGAATACGAGAGCGGCGCCGCTCTAGCGCCGTGAGCGGGGAGGGGGAGGGGAAGGACAGTGAGGCGTGCTAGAGGACGAAGCGCTGCGACTAGAGGGACAGAGGACAGCGTGCCGCGTCAAGACGAGTGCTTGAGGACAGTGTGCCGCGACAAAAAGAGTGCTAGAGGACAGCGCGCAGCGAAAAGAAGAGTGCTAGAGGACAGCGCGCAGTGAAAAGAAGAGTGCTAGAGGACAGCGCGCAGTGAAAAGAAGAGTGCTGGAGGACAGCGCGCTGTGAAAAGAAGAGTGCTAGAGGACAGCGCGCAGTGAAAAGAAGAGTGCTGGAGGACAGCGCGACGCCACTAGAAGAGTGCACGAGAAACAACATTGCTTGCTCGGCCGCGACAACAAGACCGGAGAGGCGTCGCGAGCCAACAGGGCACGACGAGCCTGGGAACTGGGACTCCCTGACTCGTTGACTCTCTGACGCCAGGAGCCTGTTTATGTGTGGGCCCTATCCGGCCCCGGAACACGGCGGCGTATTTTGGTGCGCTCTTGCGAGGACGTTTGGGGACCACGTGTGGCGAGCGGTGTCAGCGTGAGTGTGTGTGTGTGTGTGTGTGTGTGTGTGTGGTGTGTGTGTGTGTGTGTGTCCCCGCAATCAGCTGGCGGCCGCGGCGCCCAGGCAGACTCGCAGACTGACCGTCACGGCTCAACGGAGTGCACAGAGTGGTGGCCGTTTCGGCGCAGAGTGGCCGTGGGGCCGTTGGGGCCGTGACAGAGCAGTGTGTCAGTGTGTGGCAGTGTAGGGCCGGAACACGGCCATTGAGCAGGGCCTGGCCGGCCTGGGCCCCAGTGGGCCTGGCTGGAGTGGCTGGCCCTGGGCAGGCCCCGCCTCGAGCCCCGCGCAAGGGAAGACTGGAGGATCAGCCAAGGGTTGCTGCAGCCTGGAGGCTGGAGGCCTGGAGCCTGGAGGCCTGAAGCCTTGAGGCCTGAAGCCTGGAGGCCTGGAGCCTGGAGGCCTGGAGCCTGGAGGCCTGAAGCCTGGAGGCCTGGAGCCTGGAGGCCTGAAGCCTGGAGGCCTGGAGGCCTGGAGCCACCCCGACCGGAGGGCCCCGTGGAGCAGAGCCCTCCTGAAGCAAGGCCTACCTGGAGACCCGACGCGACGGCCTCGTAGCTGGACTTCCATGGGATAAACAGAGAGGACAAGATGGCGTCCCTCTGCGCGCCGCCCTACCCTCTGCTGCCGCAGGTCTTCTACTCCCTTTTCGGTACGTTGTTGTTGTTTTTTTTTGTCCTGGGCGGGAGTCGAACCCGCGTCGGTGTAATTGGCGGCGTCCCTGGTCGCGGCCCGCGCTGGTCAGGGCCACTGTTTGGTGGTGATCCGGGTCGCGACCCCAGTCGCCCCGGCCGGGCCGAGCGGGGGGCGGGACGGAGCGGGGCGGAGCGGGGCCGCCAGACTCCAGTTCACGAAAATAGGTTAGGCACAGTGGGCCAGAAGACCGGTGGAGGTAGTCAAAATCCCGGACGCGTTTTGAGCTCCAGAGTCATTAAATGGGGCTCGAACCGAAAGTGTGATCCCACCAATGGAATGCTCCCCGGACGAGGGATCCACTGATGGGGTCGCACGTTCGGTTCGAGTCCAATTTAGCGACTCTTGAGCTCAAAACGCGTCTAGAGTTTTGGCCACCTCCACCGGTCCTCTAGCCAACTTTTCTCTCTCGCCCTTCCAGCGAAAAGATTCCTTAAGAGGTGTCTCTCCGGGCAACGGGTTACGGACTCTTGGAGCGCCACTTATGCTACTACCGCGGTGCATTTACCTATATTATCGGGTCGTATCAGTTCACTGCCCCGCTCACCTGTCTATCTGCTCTGCTTCCCCGCCTGTCAGCATAAAGTCTGCCGCTGTCCGTCTGTCTGCCGCGTATCTCACGCTGCACAGTGGGCCAGAAGACTGGTGGAGCCGGCCAAAACTCTAGACGCGTTTTGAGCTCCAGAGTCGCTAAACAGGACTCGAACCAACCGTGTGACCCCACCAATGGATTCCTCGTTCGGAGAGCAATCCATTGGTGGGGTCAGAAGGTCAGTTCGAGTCCCATTTAGCGACACTGGAGCTCAAAGCGCGTTCGGGATTTTGCCGCCTCTGCCGGTCTTCTGGCCCACTGTGCGCTGGGTCGACTCGCTTCCAATAACAACTGAACAAACGGCGGCAGCAACTCGGGGCCGTGCGGAAACTTTTTGACGACATTTTTGACGCACGCGTACGCAGTGTAATGACGCTTTACTCTCGGAATTGGTCGGCTGGCCGCCGCCTTGACCTTCCCCTACACTGGGCAGCGTGGCGTGCTGCTCCTAGCCCTTTACTGCTACCTCACAAACGCTCAAATTTCAAGTTTCCAATTGTCCGCTCTGATGAGCTCTGCAAGCTTTATGCACAGGTTGTCAACATTGAGAAAACAAACTATGGCTCCATGCGCACCGTTACCGTTGGACAGCTTCGGACGCGCCCATAGTTGGAACTTCTGTGGCGTTACCACAGCCAGTCTGGTGCAGGGCTGGCGTCGATGGGAGGGACTCGTTGACGTCGCTCTGTCTCTGTCGCACTCATGGGGCGTCCCGTGTCGGCGCGACAGAGAGATGGAACGACTGTTGGGCCGGTTCGGCCACAGCATTGCAATCGCTGTAAACACCGCCACTGTTTACTCGACCTTCGGCTGGCCGCCCTGGCCAGTCTAGTCAGCCCAGTCGCACTGTCACACTGCCAGTCGCGGATGCCCCGCAGTGGATTTGCCGCAGAAGACCGGTGGAGGCGGCCAAAGACGCGTTTTGAGCTCCAGAGTCGCTAAACGGGACTCGAACCGGACGAGTGACCCCACCAATCGATTCCTCGTTCGGAGAGCAATCCATTGGTGGGGTCACACGTTCGGTCCGAGTCCCATTCAGCGACTCTGGAGCTCAAAACGCGTCTAGAATTTTGGCCGCCTCCACCGGTCTTCTGGCCCACTGTGCGGGAAACGCGCCGCCACCGATGAATCGATTATTCGATTAGTCGAAGAGCGAATCGAGCTCCGCATTTGCACGTTGGCCGGGCCGAGTCCTGGACCACGAGGCCATAGGACTATGTGACGCCTACCAACCAGTGCAGGCGCTGCCTGGGCCATGAAAGAAGAATATCTGTCGGTCTCACTCTGGAACTCGGGGCACGCGGAAATGGAAATGTTAGTGCACCTCGTTAGCAAACCCGCCTCGGCCCACACGTGTCTGACAACATCCTCTGGTCTGGTGAATCTAGCCGAGCCGCCGAGCCGCCGAGCCCGCGCGGCGCCGGTCGTCGTTTCGTCGTTTTTCGCGCACACTGCCAAAAGAAATCGCAACAAAAACAACCGCGCGCGCCTTATGACTTACATTCGACCGGAAATCGGACCAATATCAGCGGGCGCTGATCCGTCAGGGAAGGCCGCGCACAGTAGGCTGAAAGACCGTGGAGGCGGCCAAAACTCCAGACGCGTTTTGAGCTCCAGAGTCGCTAAATGGGAGTCGAGCCGAGCGTGTGACCCCACCAATGGATTCCTTGTTCGGAGAGCAATCGATGGGTGGGGTCACACCTTCGGCTCGAGTCCCATTTAGCGACTCTGGAGCTCAAAACGCGTCTAGAATTTTGGCCGCCTCCACCGGCCTTCTGGCCCACTGTGTGCGTTCGTCACTCCAACTGCACTTTTGTACCCGTTTTGCGAAAGTGCTTCGGTCGCGTCAGTTTTGCCGCTTCGATTACAGCCGGTACACGCCTGGCGCGGCTGGCGCCCCATTAGCATAGCGGTCGGAGTCCCGCGCCACGGTGCGAGCGCCATATTTTTACTTTTTGCCGCTCTCTGGGCGCAGAGACTAAGCGAGGGCAGGTGTGGGAGAAGGAGAAGAAGAAGGAGCAAGCGGATGAGGAGGATTGTCACGTACTTCGAGTGCCTATCCTTTCTCTGCCGACGCACAGTGGGCTGGAAGGGCCAAAACTCTACACACGTTTTGAGCCCCAGAGTCTCGAAACAGGACTCGAACCGGACGCGTGACCCCACCAATGGATTCCTCGCTCGGAGAGCAATCCATTGGTGGGGTCACACGTTCGGTTCGAGTCCGGTTTAGCGACTCTGGAGTTCAAAACGCATCTTGAGTTTTGGCCACCTCCACCGGTCTTCTGGCCCACTGTGCGACGCGGAGACGGTCAGCAGGCCGCTTGGCTTTGTCGCTCTGTCTCTCTCGCACCCACCGAGACGCCCCGTGAGTGCGAGAGAGACAGAGCGACGAAACGAATGGGGCGCGAACCACGAACCGCGAGCGGCGCGAGTTAGTCAACCTGTTACACGAGCCAAGGCACGCTTCGCCTCGCCTTGCGCCGGAAGGCCGGAAGGGTGCCGCGGGTCAAAGCTCTCTCTCCGTTACCCAATCTCCGCGAGCGATTCGCCGCTCTGTCTCTGTCGCACTCGCAGTGGGCGAGAGAGACAGAGCGGCGAAGCGCCTGCCAAGGTGCGGGTAGGCAGCCGCGAGACAGGCGAGCGCGCCGGGCTGCCTACCCCGCCGTCCGCAGGGGCCTCGGCTTCAGCCGCCCGGCCGTCCTGGCCGTCGCACAGTGGGCCAGAAGACCGGTGGAGGCGGCCAAAATCCCGGACGCGTTTTGAGCTCCAGAGTCGCTAAATGGGACTCGAACCGAACGTGTGACCCCAACAGTGGATTGCTCTCCGAACGAGGAATCCATTGGTGGGGTCACTCGTCCGGTTCGAGTCCCGTTTAGCGACTCTGGAGCTCAAAACGCGTCTAGAGTTTTGGCCGCCTCCGCCGGTCTTCTGGCCCACTGTGCGTCCTGCCTACCAGCCTCACTGTTTTTGTTGCTGTCCACAGCGTCGCTGAGCTTCTACTCGTCGGGGCTGTGCGCGGGCTGGGCCTCGCAGACGCTGGTCAACACGAGGACGCGGCTGTGGGCGTGGAGCGTGTGGCCGCAGGAGGTGCCATGGATCCCGGGCACGCTGTGGCTGGGCGCGCTCATGGCGTGCGTGCCGGTGGGCTACGCCATGGACAAGTACGGGCGCAAGTACGTGAACCTGACGGTGGGCTTCCTGTTCCTGCTGTCGTGGCTCATCGTGCTGGCCGCCGACATGCGGCCCGAGAACCTGTACAGCGCGCGCGTGGTGGCGGGGCTGGCGATGGGGGCCACGGCCATCGTGGTGCCCGTGTACGTGGCCGAGATCGCGGAGGCCACGTCCGCGGCACACTGCTCACCGTGTCCAGCGCGTGCGGCGTGGCGGGGCTGCTCAGTATGCACGCCCTGGGCCCCAGTGTAGGCTACCGCAGCCTCGTGGCGCTCAGCGTGCTGCCCGCCGTGCTCTTCCTGGGCACCTTCTCCTGGAGCCCCGAGTCGCCGCTCTTCCTGGCCGTGCAGGAGCGCTGGAACAAGGCCACCGAGAGCCTGACCAGCCTGCGCGCCAGCGCGCGCGCCGTCAAGGCCGAGCTGGCCCAGCTGATGCGCAAGGACGAGGAGCTGGTCAAGATCGTCTGGAGGCAGCTGCCCAGCAAGTGAGTCACCCTCTGCACGGTGGGCCAGAAGACCGGTGGAGGCGGGCAAAACTCTAGACGCGTTTAGAGCTCCAGAGTCGCTAAATGGGACTCGAACCGAACGTGTGACCCCACCAATGGATTGCTCTCCGAACGAGGAATCCATTGGTGGGGTCACACGTTCGGTTCGAGTCCCATTTAGCGACTCTGGAGCTCGAAACGCGTCTAGAATTTTGGCCGCCTGCGCCCACTGAGCGTAGTCACCACCCACCACAGGAACTGGAATGAAATGGTGCACCTTGCTTCCAGGCCGGTGGCGCGCAACGTCCTGCTGCTGGCCATGGGGCTGTCGCTGCTGGCGGCGTCTGAGCGGCTACAACGCCGTCATGTTCTACACGGCGCTGCGGCTGCCGGACTCGGCCGACCCGGCCTTCATCGGCGCGTCCACCTTCTCCATGTGCGTGTCCGCGGCCAGCCTGGCGGGCTGCATGGCGTGCGTGGCGCTGGTGGACCTGGTGGGCCGGCGGCCTCTGCTGGCGGCCTCGGCGGCGGCCTGCACCGTGTCCATGGCCGGCGTCGGCTACGTGTTCCTGGCCGCGGCCCGCTGCGAGGACCGCGTCGACACGTGCGGCCTGGGCTGGTGGCTCGTCGTGGGCCAGCTGTCGTGGGCCTTCGCGCACGGCCTCGGCCTGCTGTCCCTGCCCGCCACCCTGGCCGTGGAGATGGCGCCCACCAACATGCGCGGCGTGGTGGCCTCGTCTGGCACGGCCTGCGCCATCCTGGGCTCCATCCTGGCCACCGTGGCGCTCGAGATGACCTCGGCGCACGAGGCCTGCTGGCTGTACGCGTCCAGCAGCGCGCTGTGCTTGCTGCTGGCCTTCGTGGCCGTGCCCGAGACCAAGGGCACGCCGCTGGCCGCCGTGCAGCGCCTGCTGGCCGAGCGCTACGGACCCAGCCCCGCCGTCGCCGCGCCCCCCAGCGCCAACCACGGCCTCGGCGACGTGCCCCTCGTCAGGCACAACGGGCGACCCCTGCCGAAGCAGCAGTCCAAGGCCGAGGCCTCCGCCAGCGAGGCGGAGCCCTGAGGACCGCCCGCCGGCCTCCAGGCCAGCAAGTGCGAGGACCTGAAGTGATTTGTGGACTCGTGGTACGGACACGCTGCCTGGGCGGTGACCGCAGTGACCGCGCTGCCCCTGGCCAGACCGGCGCTCGGCAACAAACGCCTTGCGATCGAGTCCCGAGTGGTCTCAAGAGCCTCCCACATGGCGCCGTGCGGGTCCGGCCGTCGACCCGCCGCTGCTGCCCTGCCGGTTCGGGTTCTGGTTGCTAGCCGCGCCGCGCCGCGCCGCCGTCCCGCGGGACCAGGTATCCCGGACGCGCCTTTCGCTGCGTCGATCCGATAACAGTATTCCAAGGCACGCTGTTCAGTGTGCACTGCAGCCACTAGCCACGCCCACCTGCGCTATCGCAGTGTCGCGGCAGAAACGAGCAGCCGATTGATTCGACTGCAACGCACAGTGGGCCAGAAAACCGGTGGAGCCAGCCGAAACTCTAGACGCGTTTTGAGCTCCAGAGTCGCTGAATGGGACTCGAACCGAACGTGTGACCCCACCAATGGATTCCTCGTTCGGAGAGCAATCCATTGGTGGGGTCACACGCTCGGTTCGAGTCCCATTTAGCGACTCTGGAGCTCATAACGCGTCTGGAACTTTGGCCGCCTCCACCGGTCTTCTGGCCCACTGTGATGGAGAGCCGACCTGGCGGTTGGGTTGCCAAGCCGCAGACGGCGGAGATGCCCCGCGCCCCAGGGAAGTCTTTGCGACGAGGCGCGCGGCGCTCCCACCTGCGTGAAGCCAGTCATCATGCTGTGAAGCTCCATTCCAAAGTTCAACCAAGACCAAAACATGAACAGTCATTAAGATAGTTGTTTTAAAAATAATTATTACTACCAAAGTAAAGAGACCACAGCCATACGGCAAAGCAAATAAATACTCAAGATGGGTTTTATGGTTTTTTTAATGAATGTGTATCAAAACCTGGGAATATTACAATATAGTATGTGAGGGAATTATTTGGAACTACAGTTCGTTTGAATAATTGAGCTAGGCAGTGTATAAAAAAGGAAAATTATACAAAAAATAAAATTCTTAAGTCACAGCTTTGTTTTGTACACAGTCAGAGTTATACTGCTAAAGTTTTGTGATTATTCCTGAGCATCAGCCTTGTCAACAGAGAAGGGCTCAGCCACCTGCTCAACACCACAGTCGACAATCTCAACATCCTGTTGTGGGCGGTCACGGCCATCAGTGCTGGTGCTCTCAATGCGACGAATGACATTCTGGAACACACAAATACATCGTGAAATTCAAATGCTGGTGAGAAATCAATATCTCCATTTATCTTTCTCAACCAACCATTCCGCTGAGGACTTTGCCAAAAACAACGTGGCGACCATCGAGCCAGGGAGTCTGCTTGGTGGTAATGAAGAACTGGGAACCGTTGGTGTCTTTGCCAGCGTTAGCCATGGACAGCCAGCCAGCGCCGTAGTGCTTCAGCTTGAAGTTCTCGTCCTCGAACTTGTCGCCATAAATGCTCCTGCCTAAAAGCACAAACAAAAATATTTAATTTAAAAAAAAACAAAAAAAACCTAGGGTTACGAATTTTGGACAAAAGAGAGATAAGTACTCACCACCAGTTCCATCACCACGAGTGAAATCACCACCCTGGATCATGAAGTCCTTGATGACTCGGTGGAACTTGCTGCCCTTGTAGCCCTCACCCTTCTCACGCTTGGCAAGTTCGACAAAGTTCTCAGCAGTCTTGGGGACAGTCTTGCCGAAAACACCAATCACGACACGGCCAGCCTTCTCATTGCCGATCTTGATATCGAACCAGACCTGCAACACAGAATTCAAACTGTGGGCATTAGGCTTTGATGACACCTGTCAACTCCAGGAGAGCATCCTTGAAGGAAGGATGAGATGGCATGATGGGGACAATGGAGCGGAGCTTGCCAAGAGGCTTGCCAAGCCAGCACAGGAAGTCTGCTCGGGGCCAGGGGGCTGACCGGCAGATAACATCGGGGTCAGGGCCAAGCCGGGCCAAGCCGGGTAGGGCAATCATCCAATGCAACCAAGTGGCCACAGACGAGCAGGGCACAAAGTGGAGTGGTTCAGTGACCTCAGGCACTGATCCCGGTCCTGCTCCTGCGTCGCGTCCTAGGCGCCTCCGTGGGGCGCCGTTGGCGTCCTGGTGGCGTCCGCCCCTGGACGCCAGGACACCCAGGACACTTGGTGGCGACGGCGAGGACAAAGACCGGCCGGAAGGACTCGCCGGGCCGGCCTAGCCACCCCCGCAGGGCCGCAGGACCAAGGCGCACTCACCTTATCCGTCACTTTGGGGCCCTTCTTGCTGTCCTGGCTCTGGGCGAGGACGAGGAAGCCCAGCAGCACGATGACGGCCACCCCGAGGGTGCGGACGGCGCACGAAAAACTCCGCATTTTGCGCGCTTGTCTCAGCAGCCAAGCCCAAGCCAGAGTGCGACGCTTGTGAACAACAACTGTCCACGTCAGGTTCCGGGCCGGGCTTGCTGTCGGCCCCAGACTGGTTCTCGGGGCGGCTGCTGCTGCTGTGGCTGTGGCGGCAGCCGCTCTCTCGGGGCTGCCAACCATCATGGCTTACCTTTCATGGCACAAGTGAGCGACTCGTAGCACCTGTGGTGACTGCTGCGGCTTGACTGCGGTTCTGGTACACTTAACTACCGTGTTGAGTTTATGCTCTTTTGAATCACGAAAATCGTGACTTGGTTTGGTGATAAAAGTGTGAAGTTCCGAGCGCTGTATTTCTCATTTGGCAGCAATTTCTCATTTCTTCGCAAGTGCTCGCCGAGGACCCGAAAAACAGCGTCCCAAGTATTTTTCTAGCATAAACCTAGACGAATTATAATCAGGGCAGTGCAGACAAACATTAAAGCCCCCGGATAAACACCTGCATTAATGTCTGCACTAAGATTCGACGTGCTGGTGGGCCTTGAGGGAGACTAGCTAGATTATGAGAAACCCAGCAGCACGGTGAATAAGAATGTGAATGAGACGCTCGAGCTTCGCGGCGCTGCCGACAGGGCGCGCCATCGCTCGCATTTCAAGTCCGAAAGAAAACGCTTTCAGTGTGGCAGTGACCGGAGTAGAAAGGTGTCGTGCAAGACCCAAGTGCAACAGCTTGCCCGTGTTGTGACGGCCAAAAGTTTCGAGTGTCGCGAAAAAGTGCTTTATTTCTGGAATTGGCGTTCGCCTGGAGGATGAGTGGGCTGCGGCAGCATGAGAGCGAGTCGCGAAGGACGTCGTGAGAGGAGTCGGGGGCGGCAGTGTTAGTGTTGTGTTGTGTCGCGAAGGAATGCGTAAGTGGGACAAATGTTGCCTTGAATTTGCCACCCCAGTCCTGGAGAAGAAATGTCCTGCAAGAGATTCGTCATGTTCTATGGATACCTCCTGTTCCTGCTGTGGCGGGTGAGTACGCACCGTTTACGTGCCTCGGTTGTCTCTGTTGCTGTCTGCAGTGAGCAACAGGTTGTTTACAAAACGCTGGAGCCTTTCCAGGCTGGAAAGTGACATTTCAACAATTCCCGATTTCCTCCATTTCCCGCTTTGGTGTGCCGGGCTTGCGGCCAGTGTGACGTCCCGCAGGAATCAGTCCTCCTGTTTCTGCAGAATCACTTTTTTTTTTTAAATAAGAAAATGCTACTTTGACACCTGTGCTCAGGTACATAGTACCACCCTCACTTTTTTTTTGTTTTCATTCTCTGTGCATTAATTTTAAGAATTTTCTGGTCGACAGCGATTTTTATAGTCCATATTTCACGTTTTTTTTTTTTAAAACAAATTCTAGCATTTTTTAAACATTTTTATAAAGTTTTTATTTGCATAATGGAGGTTGGGTTGTTTGGGGCTCAGGTTAGGTAGCTCTAGGTGGAGCATACTGAATATATTGCCGGAAATATTGTTCCTAGGCAACGCGGGTAGCACCCCTTTATGAAACTAATTGCTTCTGAGAGGAATAGCCGTGACATTTGGAGTGGCAAGTTAGTGCCCAGAGCTGTTCCTTTTCCCTGTAGACCACTGGTGCTATAAAAAAATTAATATGCAGATTTTTTAAGTGGGCTGGATGAGGCGAGAACCGTTTGCATTATTAAGAACAAAAGTTCTGTGTCATAAAAGATTAAAAATAAGTTGTCGTACGGACAGTGTGCAATTGTTTTGTGCAGAAAATTCTTGCATGCAAAATTTAATTTAGGTTTTTAGGCGTAGCATAGCCAGGAAATCTCAACCCAAAACCTAAAAAAAGTGCATTAAACACATTCTATTCTGTGAAAGATTTTTTTTTTAGAGTAGCTTTGCTTTTGACAGTGTAGTCGCGCGCCCCCAGGGCAGGCGAGGCAGGCGCCCGGTGGCAAAGCCGGCAAAGCTGCAGGCAAAGCTGGTCTGGGTCGTGTGTTCCAGTGTGTGCGTTACTGTCTCCGGACCGCCCGGCTGGCTAGGCGGCTGCTTCCGGGACGGAGCCTCGTCGCTCTGTCTCTCTCGCAGCCCGGCGGCCCACAGTGGGCCAGAAGACCGGGGGAGGCGGCCAAAACTCCAGACGCGTTTTGAGCTCCAGAGTCGCTAGATGGGACTCGAACAGAACGTGTGACCCCACCTATGGATTGCTCTCCGAACGAGGAATCCATTGGTGGGGTCACACGTTCGGTTCGAGTCCTATTTAGCTACTCTGGAGGTCAAAGCGCGTCTAGAGTTTTGGCCGCCCCCACTGGTGTTCTGGCCCACTGTGCGGCCTGCGGGCGCCTGCGGGTCGCCCCATGAGTGCGAGTGAGACAGCGATAGCGAGCTGAAGCGCCGTTCCGGAATGAGTCTGTCTGCCTCGCCGCGAGACGCGCTGCGCTGCTGCGCTGCGGGTGGGTGTGGTTGTGCGGCGTGGCGTGGCGTGGCACGGCGTGCAGGCAGCCAGTCGCTTTCGCTGCTGGAGTGAGTGGCTGGAGGCGCGGCTGGAGCCACCACACTGGAGCCGGCAACACTCGGGGGCGTGTCCCGCCGCGGCGCGCCGTCTCGGTGTTTCGTGGGGACTGACTGACTGACTGGATCGTGCAACTCGTGCGCAATGGAGCGGGGCGAGGCGGGGCACAGTGGGCCAGAAGACTGGTGGAGACAGAAAAAGACATTTACATTTGGCGGATCGTTGTGATAGCAAGCGTGCTGTGGGTCGCAAGTTTTTACTCCCTCTATTTTTTTGGGAGTGAGGAGGAGGGGCTGCGTTGGCACTTGGCTAGACTCTCACGCCTGTCGCCAACCAGGATGCGAGTCAGCTGTGCGTCGTCTTGGGACCCACGGAGTGCATGACACCCCCTGGGCCAGAAGACCGTTGGAGGCGGACAAAACTCTGGACGCGTTTTGAGACCCAGCGTCGCTAAGCTGGACTCGAACCGAACGTGTGACCCCACCAATGGATTCCTCGTTCGGAGAGCAATCCATTGGTGGGGTCACACGTTCGGTTCGAGTCTCATTTAACGACTCTGGAGCTCAAAACGCGTCTAGAGTTTTGGCCGCCTCCACCGGTCTTCTGGCCCACTGTGTGCCGCTGCCCTGTTTAAGTTTTCCTGTGACAGCTTTTCTGTGCACACGGTTGAAGGTCTGGGAAGGTGGCGGAGGTGGAGAGAGAGAGAGGGAGGGAGGGAGAAGTCCTCGTCCTGCCGGTAGTCTGCGTAGTCCTGCGTGCTCTGCATGGCCGGATGTGACACGTGCATCCACGTGGGCCCCACCCTGCCAAGCACTGGCCCACTGTGCGGCGCTTCCCCAGCAGAGAGGTGTGGGAGAGCACGCAGACGCTCGCACGCCGCGCACGCCGATCGGGAGCCTTGCGGGTACACTGCTATCTTTTTCCCTCTCCCCCTTTTCGGTCCCGCCGCCACGATGCGGATCGCCGCCAGGATCGCTGCACGGCGTGTTTGTTTGTTGAACGCCCTACCGCCGCGTTGCCGCGCCATGCTCCGTCTCTGTCGCACTCACGCGGCGCCCCGCACTGCCCCCACAGCCCGCACGCGTGCGAGAGAGACAGAGGCACCTCAGTGTGCAGCTAGGCCCCTGCTAGGCCCCAGCTAGGCTGCGGACCCCTTGCCGGAGCGCGGCTATTTCGGCGTGCCTCGCTCTGTCTCACTCCCTCACTCTCGGTCTCCGGCCGTCTCTCTCTCTCTCCGTCTCACTCTCGTCAAGCCTGGGATAATATTGGTCGTCTGCGCTGCACGGCGCTGCAGCTCCAGCCGATGTTTAGGCCTGTGCACGCGCAGCCGCGCTGCGCGCGCTTTGTATAACTTTCAAATTTAGGCTCCGAACTCTCAGCCTGCCGCGGGCAGGCCGCGGGACGCCGTGAGGCTGCACGGCGAAAAATAGAAGGCGGCCCGCACTGGATTCGCCAGAAGACCGGCGTAGGCGGCCAAAACTCTAGACGCGTTTTGAGCCTCCAGAGTCGCTAAATGGGACTCGAACCGAACGTGTGACCCCACCAATGGATTGCTCTCCGAACGAGGAATTCATTGGTAGGGGCCACGTTCGGTGTAGTGCTCCAAATTGGCGACGCAAAGATTCTCCCGCGCGCCCCTGGTGGCCGCTTCGCGAAGCTCCCTAAAGGCTATACTGGGCACCGGCTTGCATGGCGATTAGCCGCGATGGATCATCAATACGCTAATGACGAGTCCCGTGGCTTGAAACGGAAGAAAGGAACCACTTATTGTTGTGTGCCACAGTGTTCACAATACGCCTCGGAAGGAATAAGCTTTCATTTATTCCCAAGAGAAAAAAACCAAAGGAAGAAATGGGAGTCAGCCCTCCGAATGGGCAAGCCAGCCTCGGATACTATGCGTGTTTGTTCGAAGCATTTCAGCTCTAAAGACTTCTTTCCCAGCTGTAAGTATCTGTAAGAATGTAATGTGGACCCTTATTAACCGTTCTATTCACTGGTTGTGGCATGTCACTTGCATAATACTGTGAAATTCGTTGTTTTGTTTATTGGTCTTTCGGGGTTATGTAAACTTTGTTTACCTTGCTGTTCTCTTTCAGCTAATTCTACCCAGAGAAAGAAATTGTTTCCTAAGGCAGTCCCATCTCAAAATCTGCCCCAACGAACTCATGACAAAGGTGTGACTTCAGATGAGGCTGAAAAACGTTCAGCCAGAGCAGGAAGAATTGCTAAGAGGGATGCTGCATCTCTAAGGTTTGTCTATTGTTTACACTAATTTAAATCAATAATAACATTGAAAGTATATTAAATGACAAATATTAGTTGTGTTCAAGATTGAAATTTATAAATTTCCATTATGTTCAGGTGCCCAGTCAACACTGAGACTGATAACGACACTAACGACACTCACACTGATGATGTAGAATTTGATGAAGAAATCCCCTGTCTTCGAAGCATTCTGGATTGTGCTGTTCAAGCAAATCTTGCTGACACAAGAAGTATTCGTCCTTGCTGTGAAGGTGTTACTCTGGCTGACATTCTAAGTGACTTAGATACTGGAGAGAAGTGCACTCAAGTCAACTTTTTGCCATTATGGAAAGATGAAGATGACAGCAAATCAGTTCCCTGCATTACTTTACCACAACTTCTGTGTACCAAAGAGAAACTGTTTACCTTCACTGGTCTCCATTCGCCTGATATGCTGGAGTGTTTAGCAAAATGTGTGGCAGATATAGCTGTAGATTCTCGAAGCAACAAGAAAATATTATCTGTTAGAGATAGAATTATTTTAACTATGGTAAAAATCAAGCAAAATATGGATTTCACTGCTATAGGTGTTCTATTTGGTATTAATCGTCAAACATGCTCTAATTATTTCAAGAATATGAGTCCGCTTCTTGCTAGAGTATTGAAAGTAGTGATACCGTGGCCGGACCAGAGCATGATAAGGTGTAACCTTCCCCTCTCTTTTGATAAATTTAGAAACACAAGAATTATACTTGATTGTTGTGAAGTAACCATTGAGAAATGTAAATGCTTAAAATGCAGAGTGTTAACATACTCCCAATACAAGAAAAACCACACTGTCAAGTTTAACATGGGAGTAGCACCTTCAGGACTCATAATTGAAACAAGCTCTGCTTTTGGTGGCCGAGCTTCAGACAAGCACATTGTCGCTGATTCAGAAATATTGAACAGGCTTGATTATGGAGATGCTGTCATGGTGGACAAGGGCTACCAAATAGAGAAGGAATGTCTTGAGGTAAGCTTCATATTATTGAATTTAACTGTAAATTGCGAAAAATGTTTGTCTTATTTTATTTTCTTTGCCTTTTAGAGAAATTTGACTTTGTATCGACCACCATTCTTGACCCAAAAGAAACAACTAAGTCGAGAAGAAGCTTTGTCCTGTGCTGAGATAGCTAGGGCAAGAGTGCATGTCGAGAGAGTTTTCCAGCGGATTCGAGAGTTTGATTTCCTTCGTGGGCCAGTACCTTGGCCTCTGGCCCCCTACTTTGAAGATGTCTTAACTGTTACTATGGGTCTGACTAATATAGGCCCACCAGTTATTAATATTGATAAGTTTATGTAAGTGTCTTCTGTTTTAATAAGAGGGACAGTTTCAATGTGTCAGACATTTTAATTGAAGTCAAGCTAATTAAAACGAGCTTATAAAAAAATTGTTTTCTTAATGTCAGAAATTAAAAAATTGTTGCACATGCCCAACATGAATTCACATACCTAATCATTAACAGTTTGATTAGACAGGTGGTCTTTTACCATCCTAGGTAAAAACTTATCAAAGTAAACATGGACAAGCCTTGAAAAGAGGTCTAACACATGTTTTTCATCAAAAGGAACTCTGACATAATGTGAATCTTTTCCACTTTCTGAGTAGACAACATATTCACACATATCTACCCCTGTGACCAACATACCTATCTGCATTTGGGCATAATGCTGGTTTTCACCTTTACATTTCCATTCTCATCTAAGGTTTTAATACAATTATATTCCACAAGCTCCTGTGCATTGAGATGTTGACCTTCTTTAAATGTTTTAATTTCTATAGTGTTCAAAAACTTTCCTGTCTCATCGATTACAGTTCCATCAACACTAGCCCCGAACCAGGGTATTTCTGGTCTCACCAAAAGACCAGTCTCAAAAACTTTGCATCTACGTTGCTCTTCATAAAGGTCTCTTGCTAAAATTTCACAACGAAGTCCTGCAACTGTGTATTCATTTCCCTTGAATGTACTGTGGTACAACTCATTGTATCTTGCGTCCCAATCAGCTTTCTTGTTGACATAGTAGGTATACTGGGCTCTAGCTTTGCTTGCACTGATTCGAACACTGCGGTGCTTATGCCAAGCTGCTGTGCCCTGGGGTGTGTTGGCAAGTTCGACACACTCCTGGAGGTTTACTTTCACAAACTCTTCGTAAAACTGAAGTAGGTTTGGGGCTAAGCAGTCAAGCTTCTGTTGCGTCAGCTGTCTCACAGCTGATACAACCCGCCAAGTGCGGAATGTCAGCAGCCTTTTAATGGTAACTTTAATCTCCTCTTTGCGGCTTGCTGCATCCTGCGGGCAGCATGCTACTCCTGACCCTTGCCTCAGACAACTCGTGAAAAGGGAAAATTCACTGAGAACTGCACCTACAATGCACACAATAAGACACAAGAAATAAACATGAATTTGTTTATTTATAAAATACTTCAGCAACAGTTGTTAATAAACAAATCACAACACATACACAAAAGTGATTGACACAAAATAATTTCAAGGCTCAGACAGCCCACTCATAAAAGGTACAGTTCATTACAATACTATGACTTTCTCAAATAACAGAGAGAAGAAATCAAAAGAAAAAAATTAAGTGCATTGATGGCTTGTAAAGAAAAACCAAACTTCATTTAGGCAAAAAGTGCCAAAAAGTAAATTATAAAAACGGTATAAAAAATGGAAAAAAAATCACGAGAATTTCTTACAGTTGGTCAGTGCTTCCTTCCACCTCTCTTCCATTTCTTTGGTGACCTCTGGCATGTTAGAAACATATACATCCCTCTTCGCTTTCACATGGCACAACTCGGTGAGTTTTTTCGCCTCGTATTCCTGAAGGGGTGCTGCCTTCAGAGAACCCCACTGCTGCTCAATGTCGGTGCAACTTAGGTCATCTAAGTCAGACTCTTCAACCCTAAAAAAGAACAGTCCAAATATTATTTCCACTCCCTTGGGTACTTAAACTTGGTCAAAATAGAGCCGAATGCAGCGCTGGTAAGGTTACCTTGACAGGTACAGAAGCACTGCAATAATATGTTTGCACTTCTCGGAAGCTCCAGCCGGGCATTGACATTCAGGCGAGGAGTCTTTGGTAACACGCTGGCCAGGTGGTTTTGACAAATCAACCCAGATTTCAATAACATACGGAGTTTTGGTGGTAACTCCGGTAGTGCGAAGGACTAGAGCCTGGATGTGTAGTTCGTCATCATTTTTGGCTTTTATACCAATTGCGACAACAAACCCGGCCTGTAGCACTTGTTCGCCTTCGCGTATAGGTCTCTCAAAACCTATCGACGCATTAACAGCGTCTAACACCGATAAAATCATGCTGGATTGTAATATTGACAACGATTACCCTACACACGCCGTGTAAACAGATCCCATGGATAGCCTTTAGAGAGCTTCGCGGAGCGGCCACCAGGGGCGCGCGGGAGATCTTTGCGTCGCCAATTGATGAACTCCCCCTGCTGCACCGCTGGGTGCTCGCCCCTACGTATCTGTTTTATCGGCCCGGCGAAGTGGGTTGCCCCCGGCCGGTGGTTGATACCGAACGGGGTGGATCGGCGAGCTCTTTTGTCTCTCGTCCTGTTTGCTGCCCCTTTATCTCGCAGCACGGTCGACCGAGATATCGAGGTCAAAACTCTCGACGCGTTTTGAGCTCCAGAGTCGCTAAACAGGACTCGAACCGAACGTGTGACCCCATCAATGGATTCCTCGTTCGGAGAGCAATCCATTGGTGGGGGTCGCACGTTCGGTTCGAGTCCCATTCAGCGACTCTGGAGCTCAAAACGCGTCTAGAGTTTTGGCCGCCTCCACCGGTCTTCTGGCCCATTGTGTACAGCCGATGATGCTGCCCGCCGATTGATTGGCTCTCCTGCTGGAGTGCTGCTGGACGAGCGGGAAAGCGATGTGTGCGACCTCGATCTGCCGCGGTGCGTGCCGTGCTCTCGCTCTCTTCCTCTCTCGCTCTCTCCGTGGTGCCGACGACGCTGGGCCCCCTCAGAAAGCGAGAGGCTGTCTCTACCTGCCGTCCGAGAATTCAGACTCCTCCTATTAGTGTTGCTGCGTCGTTGTCTTTCTCTCCCACACCGTACAAGGTTCCTATGAGTGCGAGAGAGACAGAGTATGCGGCACTACGTGCACTTGCACTGGTCGGGGAGCTCAACTGCACCGCTTTGGTGTGGGCGCTGCGAGGGGTGCTCCGGTGCTCCTGCGGAATCTGGAGCTCCACTGGAGGCATTCTCTGCTTCGCCCGATCGCTCGCATTCACACAACGGTGCACAGTGTGCCAGAAGACCGGTGGAGGCGGCCAAAATTCTTGACGCGTTTTGAGCTCCAGAGTCGCTGAGTGGGACTCGAACCGAACGTGCGACTTGGAGCTCAACAGGCGCTAAGAATTTTGGCCGCCTCCAGCGGTCTTCTGGGTCACTCTGCGGTGGCCCCATGCACCACTCTGGCACTGGGAGACTGGAACCTTTCCATTTCGCGATTTTTATTCTTGTTCGATGCCGCCCGCGTGGCGTCGCTCTGTCTCTCTCGCACCGTTATATGTACGGCGCAGGCCACGAGTGCGAGAGAGACGGAGGCAGTGCTGAGGCAGTGCCGCCACCTGCGCCTCACGGTGGCCGTGCTTGCCGCTCTTCCTGGAGAGGTACTCGCCTGGACAGGTTTCAAATCCAATCCCCCCCCCCCTCCCCCCCCCCCCTTCGCGTTCCGCCTCCCTGCCTTCCTGCGAACGCCCTGGCCAAGCAAGGTCACCTGTACCCGCCTGTACCGACGGCCAAGCACCGTGCGAAAATGCAACAGCGTATAATGTAGAGAAAAAACTTTATGGAAATGAGTGACATAAAGCTTGGCAATTGCCTGAAAACTTGGGCCTTGAGTAATTGTTTTGCATCTTTCCACGCGCTTTTTTTTTTTTTTTAGCAGATTGGTCGAGGCGTTGACATTCCAGCGTCTGCACTGCCGAATCGGCGACTGTGGACCTCCACACTGTAGGCTTGTGCGCTATCGCACCCGCCGCACTATGATCTAGAATCTCGGAATCGCGGAAAAAATTCCTACGGCCTTGAAATTTTCCTCTAGTAGTTATTTTGGGTCGGGGAATCCGAATCTGACATTAGTTTTGACCTATGGTGACGTGCCTCTGAAAAAAACTGCAAAAAAAGCTGAAAAAGACTAAAAATTGAGAAAATATTGCTGTATAAGACATTGAAGTCGGTAAAGAGCTGCTGGCACTAGTATGGAGGTCTGGGACCTTTACTTCGTAAAAGAAGAAGGGGTGTGCAAGATATAACACAACGATGAAGCGGCTTTACTCTGCCATTCAAATTTTTTTTTATTAAATATTTGAATTTACCACACGATTTACCACAACCAGTTGAATTTCATTCAATGTACCGTATTTACACGCATATAACCCGCACTTTTTTACCTCGTTTTGACACCTCCAAAACCCGCTGCGGGTTATATGCGTGTGCGGGTTATATGAGTGCACAAAGGTGAAAAATCGTATTTAAGCGCTCTAACTACCGGGGAGTGGAGCGGGGAGGGTGGGGCGAGGTAGAGTGTGCGAAGCTAGCGCTAGAGTTGTGAACTACGGTCATTTGGCGGCTGCATAATGACAACGAATACAATTTCCAATAAAATGTAATACTGGCATAGTCGTAGAAACCACTGAATAATGGGCAGAAATATAAAAATACGACGGTGCTGCCCTCTGTCGGTTCGTGGCGGCCCGCGCCGCCAGTTCAAACAGGGGGTAGCCGTCATCCTTGTACCCTGTCGCGGGTGCGGGTTATATTCGTCAACAAACGATTTTTCACCTTTTTGGACACTCTAAAACCCGCTGCGGGTTATATGCGTGTGCGGGTTATATGCGTGTAAATACGGTATAAAACGAAACAAAATGTACAGAAAAAATCCGAAAAAATGTCTTAAACAAAATGTAAAACACAAAGCGACAAAAACACATTTTGTCTTGTCACTTTAAAAATGTAATTTAACTAGTTTCAGAACGCGAAAGTTATACAAAAAGGCACATTCCTTAATTTACTTTTGGAATAAAACTGAGCTCTTTCCATTTCTTCTAAACTGCTTTTCTGAGAGTGAGAATTGTGCCGCATTTTCCTTGATACCTCGCATCATGTTCATACATCACTGCGAAAAAGTTGCAACCAGCCTCCATTTGCTCCCTGCAGACTCACTTCTGATGTCCCTGGGTTCATTTTCGGTTTCACGTTTCTCAATCTCGGCATTTTTCTGCCTATTTTCTGAGCTTTTAAGCCCACTTCCGGTGATTTTGAGTTCACTTCCGGTATGAACTAAGAGTAAATATATGTCCTTGATAGCACTTTTGAAGCCCGTCGTTCCATATATGTATGTGTCCATGAGTCCTAAAGCAGGCACGGACGGAATTTTGTCTTTTAAAAAACTTAAAAAAAACCCTGTTTGAGGGCTGTAAAATCGCGGGGTCGCAGGTGGTCGCAGCATTTGCCGATGGATTATCAAACTATGGTGACCGGACTACTGAAAACTGACCACCAGAACCCAGCCAAACCCAGCCATTTTGATCCCGGCTCTCGGAAAAATTCGAATTTTAACAATTTTGCCAAATTTTGTAAAGAAATTTTCTGGCTTTGCCATTAATCCGAGAATGACACATAAAAAAAAACCGTAAAGTGCAAAAAAAACCTAAAAAAAGACCTTTAAAATGGTATACAGGGTTTGTGGGTTCGAACCCGCCTTCCCCGGGAAATCGAGGACGGACGGAACCTCAACGAAGAACGTCAACAAACGTCCAGTCAATTTGACAAATTTGTCAACTTTGGGAGCCTCCCATTAGTCGGAGGCGACCGACCGAGGTGTTTCTTGACTTGATTCTTGTCAGATGGACATTCAAGGATAGTTTAAGCCACACGGGAGCCAAATCAGAGCACTTTCGTTTTTCTGAATTTTTTCCGCGTTTTCGGGATTCTAGATCATAGTGCGCCGCTTCTTTTCCATGCCTCTAATCGTTTTATCTCTGCCTCTCGTTTCTTTTTCTTTTTTTTCCTCTCCGCTCGCGTTTGTGGTTTTGCGGTGTGGTGATTTTGGCCGCGGCGGCTCTTTCGGCATGCTCACTTCTCTTGTGATGCGGTAGCGCCGTGTTGCGTGGCGCCACCCGCGGGCGTGGGTTCAAATACCAAGCATGCAACTTTTTTTTTTCTCGATAATTTTGACTATAGTTTTTAGGGGGTTTTGACGAAAGAGAACCCGTTACAGTTTTCGTCCTGGCGCTTCTTTTTAATAATTTTTTTTTTTCAATTTTTGCTGGACGAGAGCTATGCTGGAGCATAGCATGCTGGAGCCAAGGCTGGCGCTGGTGGCGGGCCTCCGCGTTCAGTGCCGCGGTGGTTCACACTTCCAGACACCACACGCAAGCGCCGCTTCAGCGCGCCACTGCTTACGTCGCTCTCTCTCTCTCTCTCTCTCTCTCTCTCTCTCTCTCTCTCGCACCTCTAGGGGGTGCCCCATGAGTGCGAGAGAGACAACAGTGCCGCGGCTGCCGCGGTCCGCAGTGCGAGAGAGACGGAGCGAGGGCTGCCGAATCGGCGGAAATAAAAGTGTCGCGGGTGGGCCGTGGCTGCGGTGGGCCGCGGGGCCGCCCAGGCCGGCCATGCGAATCAGCTCAAGTTCAGTGTCGCCAACCTCGTCGCCAAGCTGCCGCGGCCGTTTTGGCCGTGTGCGCGGCGTTGCCGGAGCGCTGGAACCGGCTGGAACGCCTCCAGGGCCCCAGGCGGGCCCCAGGCGGGCCCCAGGCGGGCCCCAGGCGGGCCCCACAGTGGGCCAGAAGACCGGCGCAGGCGGCCAAAACTCTAGACGCGTTTTGAGCTCCAGAGTCGCTAAGCAGGACTCGAACCGAACGTGTGACCCCACCAATGGATTCCGCCTTCGGAGAGCAATTCATTGGTGGGGTCACATGTTCGGTTCGAGTCCCATTTAGCGACTCTGGAGCTCAAAACGAGGATTTCGCCGCCTCCACCGGTCTGCTGGCCCACTGTGGGGCGGGCCTGTGCCAGTACGCAGTGACTACATCGTCGCTTTAGCTTGCTCCGCACAGAGACTGAGACACTGGCGGGCCGAACAGAGCTTTCTTCGCGCCGTCTCTCTCGCACTCGTACAGCGTTCCGGCGTTCCGCGGGAGTGCGAGAGAGACAGCGATCGGCCGGCGGCGTGACGCTCCGTGACGCGACCTCGAGTACTCTGCAAACTCAAATGTGTGCATGGCACGCTCTATCTGGAGCATGCCATGAGGGACGCTTTAAATTGGAGCGTGCTT